TAATTTTTTATTATTTTTTCAAAAAACCAAAAGTTAATATTAAAATATGAAACAAACCCGAGCTCTTCGAACAAAACCAAATAGAGATATAGTTGGCATTTCAATTTGTTCTTGATATGCTTGTTGAAGAGGAGTATTAGTTAATGCTTGAATACCGTTTTCAGCATTATTCAATTGTTCTTGATCAGGTTGCCGTGCTGAATAGGCAACTGATGGTGGTTGTGTATGATTATTCATAATAACATAAGGTGCAGTTCGTCGATGTTGACGATTTAAGGGAGATGCCATGTTTTGTTTTGTTTGTTTAATTAAAAATAATATTATACAATAGAAGTATTCAGATTTCGATGGTTAGGATGAGTCACTTTTAATTTTAACATTATGTATCTAAAATAAGTCATGATCTTTTTCTCTTTGTTTTAGTTTTGCCATTGTTATTTGTGACAAAAACGATGAGCGAACATTTAAAATAGACATGATGATTATTCATTTTATCGAATATTGAATTCTCTCACTTTTTTATGTGTGTTTTTTATAGGATAAAAAGGAAAGAGAAAAAAAACGAGCAGAATATAGAATATCTTTATATTCTGCCTATAGAAGCTATGGCTACACATATTTCTTAAAGATTTTCCGGCTTGCCATTCTTGACTGTGCGTGATGATGTTCTTGTGTCAGTAGACACATTCTTGGTTTTTCTCTCTTTTGTCTTCAGATTCACAAGAATCGTTTTTTTCTCACTCTCTATTTTCTTCTTTTCTTAATAGGAAATCTTTTTTCTTTTTTCTTCTTTAAAGCGAAGTCTCACTATTACCTGTGAAATGAGATGAGACGCGATGCATCAATAATGTTTTAATTTTTTTTCCTTCTGTTCATCATGGTTGAACTTGCTCTTTCTATTCCACGGCGAGTTAGACAACATATACAAGACAAAAAAAAAAGAAAAGATTACATGGTTATGGTTGATAGTTGTCATGGGAAAGTACTAGTATTGTTCTTCTTTATACGATAACGAATAATTGCTCAGACAGTCTTTTTATAAAAGATATAGACAGCCATTCTGTTATATGAAAAACTGTACTGACTGACATTTGAAGAAATATTAAAAAGAACAAAAATAGAAATTATAACTCTTTCAACTTTCAGAATAAGTTATTCTGCTGAATACATTATAGTCATTTGATTCATAGAATGATGGTATAAAAATATAAAAGAAGCAACATGCACTTTGAAAACTTGAAAGATTAAAAGCATAACCATGCAGATGTCATTATCTAACGGTATTTTATTGTTTATTCTAAAAGTTTATTTTTATTATTAAACAAATTCATTTCTATGTCAAACATATTTGAGATAAAGATTAATTCAACATGATTATTGTTTGATGTTCCCTTGTGTAGTATAATTTTATTTATTAATTTCTGTTTTAAACTCTAATAGATAAATAAAATTCATTATTTTAATATTATCTACAGTAAAACCTCTCTTGTGTAGACACTATCGGGATCAACCCAAAGTGTTCATTATAGAGAAATTTTCAGTTTTCTTTCAATTAACCTATAAGTATTCAATTACAAATTGCTATTCGGCTATACAAGGTAAAAATATGCAATTTTGATGTAAATACTGACAGTCGGTTACCTACACAGGATCCATCGAAGTACTTAGCACAATAACATTTGTATTCGCTGCAACGTGCGAAACATCAATTCTATCAAAATATGCCCTTTTTTGTAGCGGTGTGTTCCAGTGCGTCAGTGAATACTTGTGTCAGTGTGAACTAACTACACTTATGAGAACATCTATCTCTTCAGATACTCCCTTCCGATTTTAAGGATTTCTTTTTGCCTATAGATACTACGTAGTGTTTTAATGAAAACTTAAAAAAGAATTTGGATTCCTGTTTACATTTGACTAACCTATCGAATTTTTAATATGTTCATTTTCTAGAAGTCCCTGATTTTCGGAAAACTCGTGATTTCGATTTTTGATCTGAAACTTTGTGCATAGACAGAACTCAACTGAACTAGCTTTCATAAAAAAAAGTTAGGAAATTTTGAAAAAAATCTCTTCGAAATATGAAGCTTTCAAGATACAGATCGTTTCTCATGAATAGTTTACACAACATGCATTTCTTGAAAACTTCATATCTCGAAGAGACTTTGTTCAAAACTCTTAGTTATTGTTATGGAAGCTACTCTAGTTGACTTCTATATATACGTACAGGTTCAGATCAAAATTCAAAATACGAGTTTTTCCGAAAATAGATATATCAAAATTTCGATAGCTTAGTCAAAGACAAATAGGAACTCAAATTCTTTTAGAATTTCTATTAGAACAATACTTAGAATTTTTAGGCAAAAAATCATTGAAATTAAAAGAAAGCAGTGGAAGAGGTTTCCCTTATCAGTTGGTTACGTTAATGATCAGTACAATGAAACTACACATTCCTCGTACAGCGGTGATCTTTTTTCTTCTTTCCAACAATTAATTAATTTAACTTTTTAAAATCAGAAGTAAATCAACACATATTGACATGATTTGATATTACTAGCTGTTAGCACAAAAGCGACAAAATATTACAGAAACGCAATGTTGTCTTATATTGTTTTTTTTCTATTAAATATGCACGGTTAGTCCATCCCCTTTTAATATGTGTCCCATGGTTGTTTATCATAGCTTGATTCACATAATATCATTTTGATTGGTTCCGCACGTGAGTAATAGAACATATGTTGCTCACATTACAAAAGTTACTATTGCTCATGAGACTAGACATGATTGATCACTGCTCAGAATAAGAAGTTGCTCACGTAGAGAGGTTTTACTTTATATGATAGAGACAAAACGTTCACGAAATCAAGATTCACTTAAATCAAATATATTTTTATTGACTTACACAAGAATGCCATTGAGTGATGTTAACACTATTTCAAATACCAAGGACAATTGAACAAAAAAAAACAACACTCAATTTTGTTGAGTTTTTCATCATTCTTGATATGTAACATCCAGTTCGAATTTCTCTCTTGCAACAAGAACTTTTCTTTATTATTTTTTTACGGTTTAAGATATTACTTAATATATGTACAATGAAAAAGAAAATCTTTAAAAAAACTCAGAACTGAAGATATACTATTGCTCAAAACATGACATATATATTAAATATGAAATTCGATTATGTGAAATATCAGCTGTGCAATACAAGAGAAGAACTTCATTTTCATCAAATTTGAAATTCTGTCAATAAATAGAAAAATTCAAGAGAATTCTTATTTTGAATCTTCTAAGAATGACAATGGTTTATCAACTCAAATTCTTATCTTTTTTTTCTCTCCATCCAAAGAACTTCTATTGATATATAAAATATTTGAAGAATTTTCTCAAATATTGACATGCAAATATAGAAATGTACTAAGACATATATAAGATAGAATGTAATAGAATCTTTTACAAACTTCTTTTTTAATTGGTTATAGTAAAAATTTTGCAACTATACTCAGATATTTCTCATAAAATTTTAAATAAATATAAAAAGAAATATTTTTACAATAGAATAAGTTCTTATAATGAATTTTCAATTTTGACGAAAGTAATCAATTGCAATGCATGATACCGCTATGAGTACAAATACATAGATAATGTAAATATCTATTGGTTAATTGATGTATTTCTAATTGATTGCTTTCTTTTTGTCTTATGCAATCTGTAGTTTGTATATAACATGTTAACGTTCTACAAATATAATGAAGTAGAATAATAGTTGTAACTAGCGCAGAGAGTTAGTATTTGGTATTTCTATATTGATGATATATTACTTCATACTATATAAGTACATACACTTTAGCACGTCGTATTGAATAATGATAACATATTGTTGTTATTTTGTCTAACAACATTGCAGACTTTGATTTAAATGATAGTTTATCTATATCAATGCGTTACATACTATTTCAAGAACAAATATATTTGACATAAAATAACTGAGGTATCAATTCATCTGTTGTAAACGTTAAACAAATGTTATCGTTATGTTAATGACAGTCGGCATTTCTTTAGAATACTTATTATCTTGAAAAAATTCCATTGTTTCATGTTTTTTTCTTTCTAAGGATTGCTATGATAATATTCAATGTTGAATATTTATAACGACTAACAAATCTCTGTACATGAATTACCAAAAAGAAAATATCATAAAAAAAAAAATAATAAACGACAGGAAGTTCCTTTCGTTACGTATACAGAAGGAAAGAAACAGTAGTTGTATACAATCAAGATAAGATTATTGATATTGTCCTTGGTAAGAATTAAGTAGAATGGTGTGATATTTTTTCATTAGTTTTATTTTCTTTCTCTTTGATACAAGAGATTTGTTATTCTTAATAGAATAAAAGATAAATAGCAACTCAAGAAATAAAACAAATTATTATTTTTATTGTTATTCACTGTTTATTTCTAATTTTTCTTTAGTATTCTAATGTAAAGAAGATATTTAGATTATTATGTTTATAAAACAAAACTTGAATTTAATCTCTAATAAAAACGATGAAAAATTGATTTATAATGAGTATCAATTATCTTTAATTTGATATATGATTGATATTCTAGTTGATATCGCACAACTTTATTAAAATAGTTTATAGTACGAAATTCTATAAAATTCATGCATGTGTCAAAATGACAAAAAAAAATATCGTTTTTTTGCTTGTTTTTTTTTTAATTTTTTTCTTATTTTCTTTTAGTTGAAATCTTCAATGAAAACAAAGTGTAAAGCACGAGATGTTAACCTAGAATGGAGAATTTTTTGTTATGAGAATGACGTTACTTGCAAAAGGACGTAGCAATGTGAAAAAATTCTTATCTTTTATTCCCTGTTAGTTATGTTGAAGATGAAAGTGCATATATTTTGACCACAATAAAGCTTTTATTTTATGTTTTTTCAATATTTATCGTATTTTGTTTTATGATATTTAAATATTCTTTTCAACAAATTTTCAGTTATGAATCAACAAGGAAATGTCAATACTGAGGCGGATAGTGATCATGGGCCCGATCATTTGGGTAAGTTATTTGAATAAATTGATTTTATTTTGAAACAATATGGTTTTTTTTATTATCCGATACAGCTTATATTTAAATAGAAAATATTAGTTTTAAATTACTAATCAAAGATTAGTTTTAAAAAAATGAAATTTTCCTAGACACAAAAAAAAAGTAATTAAAGGAGATTTGCAAACACTTTTTTAATTTTTAGAACCTATCACAAACCCTGGACATCAACATCATCGTGGAACGACAGTTAGTTCATTTACTTCGTCTATTGTTAACAATTTAGTGACTCGACCTTGTTGGCTGTGTCATAAGTATGTAGTATGTGTGCGACATCTTACCTTGCATTTTTCATGATTTCATTATTTTAAAGAACATATATTAAATTATCATTTTATCATAAGTGTTTTTGCCAAAAATAATGTTTTCGATACACTTGACAATTTGAGAAAGATTTATATTTAGAACTTAATGGTTAAATTACATCCAATAGTTAGCCAGAGTTCATTTTCAATGTCTTTTCGTGCCTGTCAATAGAGATCACCCCATCCTGATCATGCGGTGAAAAAACGTATTTTTTATTACTATGACGGAGTATAAATGCCCTTGAGGTCCTTTATTTTTATGTACAATACAGATTTCAAAGAATACAAAAAGAGCTGCTTCTTTTTCTTTTAATAAAACTATTTAGGAATGAGTGAAGGCGTAGATAACAACGACAATAATCATATTAGAAATAATCTCATGTTTTCAGTTCCATATGCCTTCAACAAGTATGTGCTTTTGTTCCGTTTATATTATTAAAGAGATATTACTGATGATTAAATCCTTCATTCTTTGGTCGGCTCTAGTTTCATTTTCTTTCACCTCTCCAAATATTTTCATTCGTCGTGCTAAAACTAACAAAACTATTTTTTTATTATCACTATTTGCTTTTCTCATTCTATTGCACTTTTTATTGTGCTAATAATAACCGAAACAAACAAATATTAAACGTTCAGACTAATCTATTTTGTTTTTTTTGTACACATAATATATAGAGTAAACAATATCATTCATCATATATTTATTGTTATATATTTGTTTTTTTCTTTCTTTCATACATACATAGATAGCCAAGATATTAATATCAGCTTGTTTCTCGAAAATCCTCTTGTGTTGTTTTCTTTTTTCTAGTTGTTATTTCCAGTAAAAATAATAGAATATAAAAACAATGATTATATTACTCTTTCTTCTTATCTTTGATTTGAAAAATGGTGCAACTCGTTAGTAAATTGAAAAACGAGCTTGACATACAATTCCGCTTATCAAGCACATGTTACTCATCGTCATTCTTTTTATCTATTCTAGATCTGTTATTATTGCATTGTGAATTTTGTTCGTGTCTGTTTTTTTCTTACCCTTTTTCTTATGTTTCGCCTTAAAATTCAATTTTAATTTTTTAAAATAAACAAATGACAATATGGCAGAACCAAAACTGTATTTAAATAGAAAGTAAGAATCTTAAATGTGAAAATTTTTTTCAAAACAAAAAAAATCATTATCAATTCATAACAAAAACTAGAATCGTTATGTACATAATATCTCTCTATTATATCAGCATTGTTCAGCATAAATATCCTTTTCGATAATGATATATATTACTGAACAGATGGTAATGTTGATAAATATCAGGTAGATTTATTTATTTATTTTTTCTAACCAAAAAACAAAACTTAATTAACTAACTTCTGTTACTGAATGAATCCAAAACTAACAATATACTATCATTAATTTATGTATTCTGTTTAGTTTTTGCACATACATGCATACATACACTGTTTTTACCTGTCTGTTGTTCTCTTTCAATCTAATATTCCGTTTATAGAATAACATTAAGCTATAATCACTAAACCGTGAAGGTTATTTTCATCGTTCGTTAACTTGCTTCTCTCACATAACCGAACGAATGATGAAGAACCCTCGTGATATAGACTAAAAATATAAAAGTGCTCTCGTGACTTAGAAACTAACGAAGCATAGAGCAAAACAAACTACCTAGTTATTTAATATGATTTCTACCGATTGCGAAGAAGCAATAAGTGCTCGAGCGGAGTTTTATCTTGAGAAAACTCTCCTAAGGTTATTATTTCAAAAAAATTTATCTTAAATTGTATTTGAATTTAAATAATAGGTATTCAACATTTGTGGTTAAACATTCATGGTGCTTTTTATTACTTGGGTTCTTTATTTGCATTGTCCTTGGATTATCAGCAATACTACTACGTGATTTACCAGATTTTAATGATCCGACAAAGGTAAAGTTTATTTTTGTTTTAGAAAAGAAAACAATCTCAAAATTTATTTTAGGGTTTTGTTCCGCGTGGTAAACATACATTAACTTCACGTTTATATGTTCTTGAAAAACTCAAAAATAAACTTGATCAACAATTAGCTACAGCAAAAATAAATAATAAAAGTAAAATACCATTATCAACAAAATCACCATTATCAAGTAGTCCAATGAATAAAAAATATGAAGAAGAGGAAGATGAATCGGATTATGATGATAATTTAAATGAAATAGATCTTAAATTAGATTTAATATCTAATCCAAATGGTTGTGTATTTGTGTCATCAAGTCAAAATAAATGTTTAACTAATCAGCAAGTATATTCATTGTTGAGTAATAAAACTGATCTTATGAAAATATCAAAACCAATTGAAGAACAACTTTATAAACCAAATGAACACATGTGTACATCGATTGATCTAAGTATGTGTCATTTTTAGATAGATAGATATATTTTGGCTATCTAACTAACGAAGGAAATATCCTAATTTGATTAATCACTTTTTAATAGGGATGTTGCGCATTATGTAAACACTACTGAGCTATTAATAGTCTGAAACGAATTCGAGTCCTTAGCTTATTGCTACAGAGGTACTGCACTTTTAGGGTACTTTTGAAGTCAAGGTCATGGTTTCCTCACAAATATGAAGAAAACTGAATTTCGATTTGAAAACTTTCATCGAGACAAATCTTAAAGAGAATAGTTTATTAGGAAAGTTTCAGATTTTTTCGTTGTTTCCTTTCTAAATTATGGTTATAGTAAAAGCATGCCATTTACATCGTTTGTACACATGCCGACAGATTCGATATTCTCATTTCAAGAAATAAGCTAATCAAAAGACTTGATGCTTTTACAATAAACTATACTCGTTAAGACCTGTCTCTATACAAGGCTTCAAATCGAAATTCGAAAATCAGGTTTTCCGAAGTTACCAAGGTCGGTCACAGCATTAACTTCAACAACACTGTAAAAATGTCGTATCTCTGCAGAGATAAAGTAAGGACCGTAACTCTTCTCAAGATATTCATAGTTCATTATTGTTACATGGTGCACGTAGTTTAGAATCGTAATCAATTAATCAGTTGAAGGATTCTTCACATAATCTATTCATTGAAGCAACTTGCTCTAACATATTGAGAGAGATGCATGATTTTGTTATTGAATTAAATATAACATTTTATTTTATGTTTTTTTCTAGTTTTAGAAATAAGAAGTTGTAAAGACTTCAAGCATATGATGGATTTAAATATCTTTTTAGGTGTACTTTGGTCAATATTTATTAGTAATCAAAATCTGATACATATATTTTTTTTTTGTAAAAATGAAATCTTAAAAAAGAATCTTTTTCTCTTATTTGATGTACTTACAATAATGATGAATCAGTTTTTGATTACTGTTTTATTTTTGCACTATAATGATTCATCAATAGAACTCGTGCCTTGCTCAAATTGAGATTGAAAAAAAGAACGTAATAAATAATTGTACTGAAATATATACATTGACAGAGAATATCAGAATGCACAGTTCAAATTTAAAACAATGAAACGAATAGAACAAAAAAAAAATCTTTTTTTTTTTTAATATTATATTAATTTAAATATTTTCTTAAGATCGTCATTATGAAGTTTATTTTGAATCAAGTGATAAATCATCTTCAAATTTATTAAATATTGATAATCTATTATCATTATGTAAAAAACAATATGAACTTGTTGAATTATTTCAATTACATTCAACATGTCATTATACATTACCAGAAATGGTTGCTTATTTTTCTAATAAATCAGATTGTCGACAATTGAATGCAAATGATATAAATACTTTTATTGATCGTATACAACGTTGTCATTCATTATATGATACTGGTCTTCTTCGTTTAGCTGGCTTAAAACGTTATCGTACTGCACCAATTGATTTATTTCTACATGATTTATGTTTTCGTTATAATTTTACATTTTTAACATTAGAATATTTAGTAGATAAAACATTTTTGTCAACAAATCAAACACGTTATACAGCTATGTGGTTTTTAAAACCAACTAAACCAATAATAACAGCTAATGGAAGTGAAATTCATACAGCAAATTCTGCCCATGATTTATTTATTGAACATTTTTATCAAAATCCAAAATTTGATGATGGTCGGACACGAATATCTGCATTAAATTTTATGGATATTCGAATTCCTTCAGCTATGAAACAAATACGTGTAGATATGTTTTTTGTTATATTAGCTATTTCATTAATTGTTGGAGTAAGTTTGTACATAAAAGAAAAAGAAAATTAAACTTTCGATTTCTTTTTTTTTCTTTTAAGGTGACAATCATTTATCTTCGTTCAATAACAGTTGCATTAATGACAAATATATGTGTTGTTTTATCATTTGCTTGTGCTTATTTCTCATATAAAATAGTTTTTGGTATTGATTTATTTCCATACATAAATTTAATGGCAACATTTATTTTAATTGGTATATCATGTGACAATGTATTTGTTATATTTGATGCATGGTATTCAGAAAAATTAGATATTTATAATGAAGCACGTTTACGAGGTCGTTCAATAGAATTTTATGGAAAATTAACTGACAAACAACAAAAACAATATCTTCGTGATAGAGAATATACAGCATCAGTACTAAAACGACATTCATCAACAAGAAATGATCCTGAACAACATCAACAAGATCAAACTGGAGAAGAAGAACATTTTGACTCAATTAAAAATACAGATTTAGTACGGATGATGAAAGTTGATGAAGAACAAATGATACAGATGATGACAGGAGTTTTAAGACATGCAGCAGCTAGTGTTTTTGTAACGAGTTTTACAACATCAGCAGCTTTTTTTACGAATATGATATCACGTATTGCTTATGTACAATTATTTGGTTTATTTATGGTAAGGTTTTACTAAAAACATCAAATTGTTTAATTAATAATGTTAATTTCGAAAGTCATTCATTGTAGCAAAATTTAATGGCAAACAGATAATAGACTCGGAGAATCTTTTTGGGTTTAATAAGAGTTATTGAAGTTTCATAGATTCTTCAAAAAAGAATTGATTTATTAATGAATCTTCTATAGAGTTAGTCTGATTTGATATGTTTGAATTAATGAAGAGTTATCAATAGGAACATTTTCTATGTCAGAAACAAACAAAAATTACTTTAAAGGAATATTAGTGGGTTGTGACTTCGGTTGCTTTCTATTTGTAGCATGTAGAAATATGCAGTATTTGTGTAAATACTGAACATTGAGTCAAGGACGGAAGAGTCCACTATGACACTGACTACACTAGCAGTGGTGTTTACTGATGCTGAAGCATTGACTACATTGACATGCATGTTCGATGCAATATTGAGATGTCAACTCTATCAAAATATGTCCTTTTTGTAGTGGTGTATTTCAAAAGAATTCAATGAACAAATATTTTAGTTTTTGCCTATCAATAATAGAATAGTGGTGTGTAATCAAGCGAGCTAAGAGATCTGAGTATAGTCATCTGAGTCTCCGGATTTTGCCAAGATAATAGTATACAAAGATGCTATAGGGATGTTTGAAATTTAACATTTTCTCTATAATTGATAAGACTTAGGGATGATCACCAACATATTAAGCTAGTTTTAAGACTTGTCATGTTTCAATGTTGTAAATAACCTATCAGATAAATGTTTCAAGATATCGACCTGATATAATTTCCAACTGCTCACTCATTGCTATTTAGATTTCAAAGTTCACTTTTTGAAAAAATGTGACGAACGATATAATAACAGTTACTGAGAGAATCAAGAAGAAATCAGATGTAATAGAAAATATATATACAGAAGCTCTTGATATAAACAACACAAAAACAAATGAAAGAAATACTGTCTGTTGACACATGATGCAACAATAAAATAATAGAAGGCTATTCTCTAAGTTTTCTCTATAATAAAAAGACTAAATGAAAAAAAAAAATATTGTTTCAGATTTTGTGAAACACAATCTAAAAAGAGTGCCGAAGTATATAGGGTAAGAATTTGCACCCCCATTACTCCCCACAGACTGTAACAAATGCCAACTGGCAACCATCACACATCGTGACAGACGTTGTGGATATACGAACACAAACCGTATATCAATAATGTCTCGTTACAATGTATTACCTACTTCCTTATTGTGTTTCTGGCAGATTTAGTAAAAGTAGAGTGAAGAAATGTGTCCCAAAATACACACTAAAACAATCTTTCTGTGATTAGCAACAGCAGCTATATCTTGTTTCACAATTTAATTTCGCAGATACTGTGCTAATAGCTTTCGCTTTTGTTTCGAATTCTTCAGATAACATTAAATTCCAATTGCCTAATTGATAGTCTAGAAAAAATTTAATAAAAAAAAATTGTTTTTTCTTTGTTTTTTTCTTCAAATAGGGACTTTGTATATTATTTAATTTTCTAATGAATGTAACAATGATTGTATCGTTTGTAATTGTATATGAAAAAATTTGTGAACCTCTATCAGCTCGTTTTGGTATATTTAATCATTTTCCAGAATTATTCGATAAAATAATGATAACATTAACTCGTCTTAATCATGCTATATTTACTGTTTATATTCCACGTGTAATAATAAAACTTCGTTATATTTTAATAATAATTTTTTTAATACTCGGTATTGCTGGTTTATTTATTGTTTTTCATTATCCAAAATTAACTCCACCAAAATCTCGTCGTTATCAATTTTTTCAATTATCACATCCATTTGAACGATTTGAATATCAAATGCGTGATGAATTTCTATCGTATATTAATGAAGATAAAGAAAATATAACAAATCCTTTAATAGTATTTATATTTGGTATTGAAGAGACTGACTTAGTACATCCATTTAATCCTGATCAAGAAAGATATATTGATAATGAAAATGTAGTTTATAATAAAAAAATTGATTTTTATGATCCAGAAACATTACGATGGTTTGATACATTTTTAAAAGATCTTAATCGGAGTGAATTATTTTCTAATGTTCAAGAAACTTATGCACAATGGTTAACAATTGGTAAGAGAAAAACAAAATAAAGAAAACAATAAAAAAAATTTTATTTGAATACTTTTCTATTTTATATAGGTCAATTATTACGTGGATTTTTACAATCGGACCCAAATAATGATTTAAAATATAACGAAAATGAATTTTTTGTTCCATCAACACGTAATGAAACAAGGATTGCAATGAATCGTTTATTTAGATTTTTTAGTGAATCTAATCAACTTGCATCATCAAATGATGGCAATCGTGGAAGTGATAATTTTCGACTTGGATTTTTACCTGATCCTAAAACATATCAGTTACGTGCCTTTTTATTTCTTATTAAGATGAATGTTACATTTGATACATTTTCTGTTCAACATGCTTATTATCAAAAATTAGAAGAATATTTTGAAAAACGTTTAGAACAATTAAAATTGTCTGAAGGTTTAAATGGTCATGTTTATGAACAAGTTAAACATGGGTAAGAAAAATTTTTTTATAGAAGGTTAAAAATGCTTTATTACAAAGGAAAAGGGAAAAGAAGTCTGAAAAAAATAAGTTCGATTGTTAATAATCGATTATTATTCTCTTAGTCAATAGGTTCATATAGTTTTGGAGAGAGAAAACTTCGAATTAGAGAAATGATCTTGCTATGGTCAGTCAGATTATTAATCAGTGATGAAAAGTTCTTATAGTTGCATGGCATTGATAGTAACATTTTACTTTAATTGAATTTTCAACACCAGCTATGCATAAACAAAAAAGCGATATAATCTTATACGTATGCTAATTTGACATTTTCATCAAGTAGCAATAAACAACTATTTAAGAAATCTACTATAACGTCAAAGTACTATCTTTATTATCTCTATGTTACCAAATAACGCAAAAGTAATATTCATCTCACACTCGAACATTTTGTACGATAAATTGAAAGAAAAATGAGCATATTTGGTTCAAATTAAAGGTTGTATTGGAACACTGTTGTTGAAAACAAAACCAACTTTGACTTTTTAAGACTTATAAATTATCAATACTTTCAATCTTATTTTAATTAAAAGCAACTAATTGTGTTGACAATAGTATTTCAATAGATTTATTTGAAACCGAGATAAAATTTTTCTAATGAAATGATAATAGCAAAGTTATATCTGTGCTCCGAATCTTTATAGTCATCTTATCTACAAGCCGTGTTTCAGGGACAAAACTTATCTTTTTTCTAACTTGATACTACTGGACTTTCATCAGTAGTTGAATCTAGTGCAATCTTAATGTAATCAGTAAATTTTAGCAAAATTCTGGAAATTTTCCTCCTGAAAAATCGTTTGATTGTATACAAAAATTTTCAACTTATCATATTTTAGAGAGTGAATTTCGCAAAATGATAATTCACATTTGAAATGAGTGTTACCTTTTTTAATAGATCATACTGAAATGACAAGAATTCACGCTTATGAATTCCTCTTCGTGTTTTGTAGCTATATTTCAGTGACTTTTCAGCTGTAGTCCTTTATTCTCCTGACATCATTTTCAAAATTCATTGGCGATTTCAAACTTTATAAAGAAGAATGATAAATTGGTTAATCATGAAACAAGAATAAAATTGTTATAGTAGGACTGATTATTAAGCATAAGACGTTGAACAGGATAATCTTAATCATGAATGCAGAAGCCTCGAAAGCAAAAAAAAAGGAAATGATTCCTGCCTAGATCATAATAAGTATCCAAAAAGAAGCTTAATTGAAAACTATACATGTTGTAATATATTAGATACTCTACTATAGAGCTCGTCGGATGCAAAGTTTTCTGATCCGATTTATTGAATATCTTTGAGACCAGGATTCTGACTCGGTTCCGAGAAAAGACCTGAACTGCGAACTGGGCTCGAGTTCGTACCCAACCCAGTGGACTCCACCCTACTAAGAAAACATTGTCGCTAATTTCGAAACCAAAACGAATTATGTCGATGTATTCAGATTTTCGTATATTAGAGGAATTATAGCTAACCTATCTATATTAAAATATAAATTTTCCTTATGTTTATTTTAGTTGGTTTGTTTCACCTCAATTTTTATTTTACGATTTAATGCGTGAAGTTATCCGTGGTACATATACCTCTTTGATATTTTCTATGCTATTTGCATTTTTTGTACTTTTATTAACTTCTGGAAATGTTATTATAACATTATATGCAATGATAACAATCACATTTATAATAGCTGATACAGTTGCAATATTTGTATTATGTGGCTGGGAATTAAATATTCTTGAAACAATCATTATTATTATGAGTGTTGGTCTTAGTGTCGATTTTAGTAAGAAAAATAATTTTTTTCTTTTTACTTTTGTTTATTTCTAAAATAAACTTTAATTTTGTAATAGCTGTACATTATGGTGTTGCTTATATAAAAGCTGATTGGCAAAAATATCATGCACATATTCGAAGAACATCAAATGCATTAAAATCACTGCATTTAAGTAATGGAAATCCAACGGAACAGTTGTTATTAGAACAAGTACCTCAAAATACAAAAGACTTATCTTCATCATCATTATTTAAACGTATTCAAGCTTGGCATCAAAAAGGAAATTTTCAACGTTTTCGTCGTATTAAAAATAGTCTTATCCGTGTTGGCTCAGCTGTATTTATAGCTGGTTTTACATCATTTCTTGCTGGTTTATCAATGTCACCAAGCAAATTGACATCATTTTCACAAATGGGATTTTTTCTTATGTTAATTATGTTTATTAGTTGGCTATATGCAACATGGTTTTTTCTTCCATTACTTTCATTTGTTGGACCTATTGATAAATTTGCTGATATACCGTAAGAAATAAAAAAAACAAAGGATGAGGTGGGGTAAGACCATTTTCTCGCCCCTAATAAAATCGAGATTTTTTTAATAGAATGGAATTAGGAGTGAGTCCTGATCATATTTTATAAATCAATTTTGAAATAACTCGAAGAAAAAATTTGGGACCTATGTTTTACCCCCCAGGGGTGTCCAAAATTTTCTTTTTCTTTCGATTCAAAGGAAACATGCTCAATGGTAGAGTCGAGTGCGCTGATTACGAATATCAGTATATTAAATGTTCAAGATCTTTAATATACAAAAAATCAATCATTTTTCAGGTCATCACTTGGCATTATATCCAAGATTTCGTCTCTGTATCTTCTCCATTAATTGTTCTCATCGCATAAAAAAAGATTCGTAACAATTAAAAAAAACTATAAAAGATCCTTGGAAGTATGATCGGCTACAAAAGTGGGGATTACCGGTGAAAAATCTATTTTTTTCTATCTTCCATGAAAACTGAGAGTTTCGATATCTCCTGATAAAATATTTCAAACAATGTGAAATTTGAACTGAGTACGTAATTTTGAATGCTCTATCTGACGGTTCATTCAAAATCCTTAAAATTTTGCGTCGAGGTTTTGGGTGGTTTTCTAGAAAACCTTTCCAGAAACTTAAGAGTTTAGATAAAAAACCGAATTCACCATCATGTTCGGTACATAAAATAACCTTTGTACACAACTCTCTAACAAATCAAACATTTTGGATACGTTGAACCAGAGCATACGTTTCTATAATTAACAGTATAGATGATGTAGCCCAATCGAAATGAATACAGTAGTGAAAAGAATAGTTGTATCAATATTTTCAGAAGATTTAAAATGCTGAAAGTAGGTTGTTTCATGTGCTGAACACGATGGTGAATTTGACTTTTATCGAAATCCTTAAGTTTCTGAAAAGATTTTCTAGAAAACCACCCAAAACTCCGACGCACAATTTTTTAAGGACTCCGAGTGAATCATCAGATAGAACATTCAAAATTACGTATTCAGGTCAAATTTCACATTGTTTGAAGTATTCTATCAGGAGATATCGAAACTCTCAGTTTTCATGGAAGATAGAAAAAAATAGATTTTTCACCGGTAATCCCCACTTTTGTAGCCGATCATGCTTCCAAGGATCTTTTATAGTTTTTTTAATTGTTACGAATCTTTTTTCATGAGATTAGAACAATCAATGGAGAAGATACAGAGACGAAATCCTGGATATAATGCCAAGTGATTACCTGAAGAATGTTTGTTTCTTTTGTATATTAAAGACCTTGAACACTTAATATATTGATATTTATAATCAGCGCACTCGGCTCTACCATTCAGCATATGTTTTATTTGAATCGAAAAAAAAAAATTTCGACACCCCTGGCAGTACCGCGGGTCCCAAATTTGTTTTTCAAGCTATTTCAAAATTGATCTATAAAATATGATCAGGACTTACTTCTAATTCCATTCTATTAAAAAAATCTCGATTTTATTAGGTGGGAGAAAATGACCTTATCCGCTCTCATCCTTTGTTTTTTTTTTGGTATTTTATTCAAAGTATAATTTTTTTTTTGTTAATTAGATTTAGTAAATTATGTCGATGTACTAAAACATCATCAACAAATGTAGTACAAACTTTAACAACTAATGAAGATGAACAACAACATTTAAAAGTGAAATTAAATGACGAACAATCAATTTAATGTGCCTATTCTTTTTGTTTTATTTTACTTTTTTGTTTAACACCATTTGTCTTTCGTTAATCTCGAAAAGAAAAACATAATTTACATCAATTGAAATAGCTTGAAGGGTGCTTATCGTTTTTTTTGAAATAGATAGATCAGATATTCTTTTGGTATCCATACACAAAAAAAAATGAACTCTTCTTAATTATCTTTTGCATTTTTTGTTGGTTTGACACGTGCAACAATAAAAATCATCTTCTCACGTGTCTTTGTTTTTCCTTTTTATCTTATTTTAGTAGAGAATGTTTTCCTTGTGTTAATTTTTTAAAAATCTATCTATGTATTGGTTTCGTTTTTTTCAATTCATTACATATATGTATTTTGTCTAATGTGGTAGTCGGAAAAAAATAATTGTGAGTTTGGAATTTCTTATTTCTGGGTTTTTTTTTTTCTTGTTTTCCTAATATTTTCAGAAAAAAAAAATATACATTATATGATTATGTAATAAGAGTTAAGTGAATATAATGGAAATTTTTATGTGATTAGCCAACGCGTGTAGTTTAGTCGGATGTGTTTATGATAACTTTTCTTTTTCGCGAAATTTAAGTTTGTACATGGTTTAATAAATATATATATCTGGATTTTGAATATATTCTATCTTTAATTCTGCGATTGTTGAAAAATTTTACTCTTGTTTATTAAAATTAGTGAATGTTCTTCTTCCAATTTTTGTTTTCTTTTTTTTTTTATTTTACATTCGTTTTCTTAAATGATAATTAATCTTCTCTTTTGTCTATATTTTTTGGTATTGTGATGTTTATTTCAATCTCAAATAGATGGACTTATGTTAAAAGTTTATTCTTGTGAAGAATGTCTTTTATTGAAATTGAATTAATATGTTCTACATTCCATTGAAAGATAAACACTAAGATCTTGATAAATTCTATAAAGAATACTAGGCCTTCACATTATAGTTGGAAGCATTGTTGTTTTAACCTTATTTCATGTTTTGATAAAGCAGAATTGGTTAAGTGGATTCTTCACGAAGTGTTTGCCTGAATAGAAAAAAAAACTTTGATTCGAATATAATTGTTATAATAACAATTCCAATATTGAATAATGTTTGAACAGAGAATTTTTTTTGAATTGATATAACGAATAGTAATCAAAAAATCAATTGAATTTCTCGAAATATTGTTACATAAATAATTATAGTGGTAAATTTATTTCAGTTCCAACCTACAACAAAAGTCTGAAATTCAAAACATTCGATTTACTTATCATGAATATAATTATTTAAGTTCAGATGAAATATTTCATCTAATAGTTTCAAGATATTGTTATTAGAATTTCAACGTGAAGTCATTTACCAAAAAAAAAAAGAACAAAGAGATCATTTCTAAACAATTCAAGGACTAATCAAGAGCAAATCTTTTTATTTTATATTTTATGTATGCTAAAATAGGTCTATAAAAGAAAAATCCTAAGAAGAAAAAATAGTTTTCTAATTTTGAATAAGTTCATTAATTTTGTTAATAAATTGATCAATATCATTTTCAGTTGTATCAAATGAACACATTAATCTAACTTCACAATTTTTAGTTCTCCACATATAAAATGGAAATATTGTTGATAATGGTTCATACCAATCTCTTGGTATTTCAAGAAAAATAGCATTTGTTTCAACAGGTCTTGTTATACGTATTAATTGTTTATCATTTTTTTTCGAAATTAATTCAAGACGTTTTTTTAATAGTTGTGCCATTGAATTTGAATGTTCACTTGATTTTTTCCATAAATCATTTTTTAATAAAGTTAAAAATTGTACAGCTATAAAACGTTGTTTAGATGCTAATTGCATCACTTGTTTATGACGATATTTTAATGGACTTAACGTATTACCATCAGTTTTAATTAATGATTGATTAAAAATAAGAACAGCTTCACCATACATTAAACCAGCCTAGATTAAATAATAAATATTGACGTATTTATATTATCTATTAATTGAATATTTACTTTGGTACCGCCTAATGAAAGAATATCAACACCAATCGATGTTGTTATATCACGAAGATTACAATTTAATGATGATGCAGCATTGTATAATCGTGCACCATCAATGTCTAAAATTATTAAATAAAATATAATTGATTAAGATTTAAGAATAAAAAAAAAAGAAGATTTACGAAAATATAAATTATATTTTTTAGCTAAATTTGATAATTCTTTAAGTTCATTAATTGTATAAACAGTTCCATATTCTGTTGGTTGTGCTATTGTTAACATTCGTGGTTGAGCTGCATGCATATCACCAATACGATCTAATTTTTCTTCAATTATATCAACATTTATTTTTCCATTTTCATCAGTTGGAATTGATATTAATCGTACACCAGTTACAGTTTCTGGTGATGATGATTCATCACAAATTATATGGGATATATCCGAACAAATAACAGCATGATAAGAATGAGTACAAGCAAGAATTGAAAGTATATTAGCACCAGTACCATTAAAAACAAAATGAACATCAGGTGATGGATCTTCTGGTGACAAATTAAATATTTCCTGAATTAAAAGACATACTTCATGTGAAACATTATCATGACCATAAGAACGTGCATGTGAGTTTGATAGAGCTTCTTTTGATAATGCAGACATTATTTCAGGTAAAACTCCAGCATAATTATCCGAAGCAAATGTTCGCATTGGATTCGCCATATTTTCTTTTTCTGTAAGTTAATAAAATGGTCTACTTGTACTTCAACTGGTTCTATGTCGTTATGTAGTGAATAGATAAACCAAGATAACTTTGATAATATTGATAACTAAGAGAAAAGAAGAAACGAAAAAGAAAAATAAATGGTCGATGCAACTAAACACAAGCTATTGCACCATAAGTTTAAATGAAGTATGATATAAAAAAAAACATAACTGTATCTGTGTGTTTGATTGTGAAAGTAATACTTCTTGATATTTCTGAATATGACTGAATGTGTAAAAGTATTTAAAAATAATTTTTCTGATTTTATTGTACGATTTACACATTGATATAAATCGTAATGACCAGAATATGATATCATATTGATAAGGATAATCTGTACAATGGATCATTAAATAGAGACGGATCAATATGAAAGAACGACAAGGAAAGAAATAATTAAAAATAAAAGACAAATAAACATAAAGAATAAATGTCTTCACGTTTTTCTATTTGCATGCTATAATAGAAGTATCGCTCTACACAATTTTTCCTTTCCAAAATCGTTGATGTCAACACATCAATAAACGTACACACAGAATATTTTCATTCTACCCTCGTTATGTACCAATATTTGGTTATATATTGGATTTCGATGAATCCAGATCAGTGTCAACATTATAAGTCTGCTTTGTTATTCGCTCTGTTTCTTATCGTATATGGTATTTTCTATTTTTTCCACTTTCTGAACTAGCCTCCTTTCTAAATCATAAGACAATGCAAAAGGATCATTTGATATTTAGTTACACAGAGAGAAAAACAGTTTTTCCCTCAACATTAATAATAGAAATGATATTTTCTTGTTCGGTAGATGCTTATAAATAAACTAATTTTTAAAAATTATCGATGAAGAGCTTAAATAATTGGTCAAACGAACAGCGAACAGCAAGTAGAAACATTAATACGAATAAGATTTATTTTTGTTATTCTCTACTTAATACTCTATGTTGAGTTTTTAAGGATCATAGAAAATTCATGATTGTGCGACAGCATAGTTAAATACCTGGAAATTCAATTGCTAAAATCTTCCATTAAATAAAAGTAGGGTTTTGTTTCTTCTTATTGTAGCATAAGCATGGATGTGTGTTGTGCAGGCGAAAGACTACGTGATTTTTTTTTAATGCTTTAAATTAAAAAATAGAGTAAATATTTGTCATCAACCTGTCGGTTACTTTATCTTCATTGCACGAAAAAAAAAACAAGTTTAATTTTGTTTTTATTCAAAAGAAACATACAATGATAAAAGAAGAGATGCTATTTATGATAGAATGTCTAAGTAGATGATCCTAGTACTAAATTCCAGTGACTTTCGTTTGGCATCTCTGTGAAAATCATCATTTCCTATGAGAGAATAATCACATCGTGGAAATAAGAATATGATTCTTGTGTCAAGCAACTCACTATGTTCGGTTTCAATCGAAAATAACAAAATGTAGTGATATTCGTAAATATCATGGTTTACATTAAATAGAGATTTTGAAAATATTCGCCGACCGTGATGGTGATTGATCATAAGTGACATCAACAACATCAATTAATAGTTATTCCTTCTCAAGAAACTTATAAGAAGCTTTCGAAAAAGTTAACATGACAAAAATGTGACAGTAAAATAAGAAATAATAACTGTGCTTTCTTTTCATCTAAATATTTAAATTACTTTAGGCCGTAGCGAAGACAATAAATACAATATTCAGATGCCTAATATAAAGACACTTCTTTTAATTCAATGTAGAAAACAATGTAAAAATGTTGAAAAAACGATCGTCAAATCTCTGCTAGAATACCAACAATGATGGTACCGAATATAATTTATCATCTTATTTCTTCATTTCTATGATGCATTATAAATGATCATTCTAACGGCAACCGTTTTCAAATCGCTTACGAGTGTTTAAATATCATTAACCAATGCAATATGGCTCAAGAAAAATATTAGAATGTACGCAATAAGGCTTAAAATAAGTTGCCCGGCCAGGACAGATTTTTTCTCCGAGTTGGACTGCTCGGTTCGAACTTTATTTCTTTTTGTTTCCAATGAAGGTTTCTCATGTAATAAAACAGAAAAATCTGATTGTAATAGATTTTATACTCGAAAAAGAATTGATTTTACTTTAGTTTTTTGTTAAAATTTGTTACATGGGTTTTGAGCCTTATAGTTGATAACAGTCACGAATCTTTATTATGAGAACGTTCCGGAAGTTTCATTTAGCCTATAAATAAAAGCAGAGCATTTTATTCGCTTCAATGATCTTTCTTATGTACATACAAGGCCGAGTATACTATCAACTGAATTAATTGACGTGAGTGTTACTGAAGTGGAACAATGCTAACTGCGTACTAAAATAGTAGTGTAACTAAAAATACTAATCAATGTGACTCTGTGAAATTGATGTGCGAGCATTCTATTCATAGCAGCTTATGTTAATAAATGAAAGTGTTTCACAGGTTGAATTACCCACGAATATATGTTGCTCTTTCCATTCAATAAGTAATTTGATTTATTTGTCATGCTGTTGTTTTTTACAAGCATTAAAAATGTCTAATCTTGTTCAATTTTTGATCACTATGATAATAGACTTTTTACAATATTTGAATAAATAACTATAGCGATTGGAAGGTTCCATCATGTCGAGGTCATTTTTGTAGAAGAAAAATATTTTTAATAATGCCATCCTAAGTTGAACTGGGCCGAACTTCAATAGAGTAGATGTTGGGCCGTGCAGGCATGAGTAAATTTTTGGCCCGATACAGTCGGACCATCATTAAGTAACTGGATTTCGAAGTCTAATTCGTGTATGCTTTGCTTTTGAAATCAACTATTGCTTTTTTCTTCTCTATTGAAGGAATAATTAAATTTATTAAAAATTCGGATTGATAATCAACAAGAAAATATCGATTTCTAATAATATTTGTTGAGTTTCAGTCATTTTTTAAAAATATCTGTAATTTTATGTGATAATTTCTATCGTTTGAAATTAGGTCATTTTTCTTTAATAAACTTATCTATTTAATTCATTTTTTCATAAGCAGAACATATTATTTTTATCACAAAATATTCATGTTGATTGTAGCACCATAAGTTCAAGTGTGATGTCACACAATACCGAAGTATTTTTTATAACATCATTTTTTTGATTGGACAAATTTTTCTTATTTAAACCAATAAAACAAACAAATTTATTTCCACTAAATATTCATACGAACATCTTCAAAAGCGACTGTTGTTTTTTGCTCATTACATGCCCATCTGTATAGTTACTCTCTTAATATATTATGTCTCTTGATTATTTTCTAATCAAACTTCTACAATATCATCATTAACAGTTTCTCGTAAGTAAAAGACATACAATTCATAGAAAAAATATTCAAATGAAAATATCTACATTAGGTTGGTATTAAATTTATTTATTTTTTGATATCGTATGACGATTTGTTTTTCGAAAACGTTGATGTCGTCTTCATTAAATTCTCATAATAATTATCATCGAACACATGTACGTGATTCATCATTTTATCAACAAAATCAATCCCTACTTGAAACAATATCACCTGAGTCTTCATCGCCAACTAGTATAACACTAAAATCTGATAACTACCATCGTTCATCAACATCAAAAAAAAAACATAAACATCATCGGCAACGATCATCCGACAAAGATAGCGATAACGATAATCATAAATCTCGTCGAACAACATCATCACATCGTTCATCACCAAATGATATTAACACCGATAGGTAAGTGTGTTTGTTTTTTCTCGCCTGTATTCATAGTGAGATAGAGTTTTCAAGAGCTGATCATGAATATGTGTATTTTCATTTGTTTTAGAATAAGTTTTTTTGTTTTTGAGAAAAATTTTCAGTTTTTTCATTTTTCTTAAATTTCAAAAACTGAATTTAGAAAACTCATTTATGAATGAGTTTTCTAGATTAAGTTGTGAACTTAAAAAGAAAAATGAAAAATACTGAAACTGCGCATACTATTGATCGACTCATCATACTCTATGTAATCATATCTAAAGTAAAGAAAAACAAACTTTGCCTTAACTTTTTCATTTCCGGCACCTTTAAATTCTCTATTTATTTAACTAAATAGTCGAAATTCTCAACGTTCATCATCATCAAAACATTCTCGACATGAACCAACATCAAGTCGTTATTATCATAATGCTCAACAACATCGTCATACATTCGATGCACCATTAACAACATCACAATCAAATGATATTGATTTTGATATAATAAATAAAAAACGTAAACATGATCATATTGATAACGATCGTTATAGTAATCATCGTTCATCGAAAAAACATCGACGATCAAGTCCATCAACAATTTATTCTTCACATCATTATCGTTCAGGAAGTTCAAAACATCGACGAAGATCATCATCATCTTCCGTATCATCACGTTCAAGTGATAATAATCAATATTCACCAACAAATGATTATGGACATAATCAACATGGAAAGTTAACAAAAGGAACACTTGGTTCAGAACTTGATAAATTAAGACCAAAAACAACTAAAAATAAAACTGTATCACAAACTATAGCAACATTAAATAATCAAACACAAAATGATCAAATAAATAATAATGATGTAAGATCAATTTTTTTCTATATAATACAAAGTGATACAAAAATAAGAGGTTCCTGTCTAATTACAATAAACTTTAAGTGATTTCAAAGAAAACTCTTCACTTATTTGCATATCATCGAGAAATCTCTCTTTTAATAATCAATAAATTCATGTATATTCAACTACTTTTCTGACATGAACTTTTTCTGTCGACTATTAACGTGTTAGACAAATGGGAAGTAGTAAAAGAACAGTTTTGACCGAAAAAGTTTTCTGACTTTCACCTGAAACTTAGGACGTTTTCTGAAAATGTCTATTGAAGATCTCACAATTGATTTCAAGTTTTGAGACTATAAGTAGAATATTATCAGACTAGTATAACCTCTTTCAAAAGAATGCATTTTTATAGAAGCATCGAAAGTCACTATATTTCGAAACATTCATATGTCTATCAAATCTCAATAGAAATCAAAATCATTTCAATGTTTTGGTAGTCTAGTAAAACTTTACTTATGAGTTCAAAATCTTGAATTCATTTGTGAGAACTTGTATAGACGTTCCTAGAAAACGCTAAAAATCTTTGCCAACACAAGCAAAAATTAGAACATTTTTCTGAGCAAAGATTTTTTCAGAAAACTTTTTAGATACCCATTGATTTATCCTAATAATTTTTCAGCTTAGATCCGAATAATTATACGTATAATCTATGAGATTAATTTGTATTTATTTCTTTTTTTAATAGAAAAATATTAAATCATCTGGTACATCGTTAACATCTACTTCGAATACAAGTCGTTTCGAGTAAGTTAAAATAAAAGACCATGCTCTGTATTCTTTAATCTATTATATTTAAGTTTGAATGCACATCGTCGACCAACATCATCATCAAATTTCACAATTGTACCACCACCTGGTGGTCAAACTCATTTAACACGTTCATTACCAATGCCACCAGATTATCAACAAGATTCTCCTCCATCTTCAAGTCCAATAAATCCATCACCAACTCATACATTTTCTCATTCGACATCAACAAATAAAATTTATTCATCCAATCAATCTGATAAACCAATGCAACGACCTTTGTAAAATATAAAAATCTCTGTGCATTATTTTGTGAAAGACAGTCTAAAACGAGTATTGAAAGTATAGGGCTGAAAATTTGGACCCATCCCTACAGATCGTGGCTAGAAGAAAGAGTACCCAGCATTTCAGCTATCTTATACTATAAAGTGTTGCCCGAAAGCAGTTCCATTAGCACCATATCTTCCCTACAACTATTACTAGCTGTAGCTTGGGACAGAAGACCAACTTGGCTTGAAATTCTCTCACTCGAACGCTTGAGCTCCCCAAGCACACTGACTAACTATGTACTAGTCACAAGAGTCAATATATGTTACTATGCAATCAGTGTGCTATTGAGCTGATGATTCAAGATAAATAGCTATTGATCACTTGTCCAGGGTCATTCCAAGACTGTTGATACCAACGTTTGAACACATTACCTTGTGGGTACGTACTGAACAACGTAACTACTTACGAGGGAATGTCTCCGAGTGACCAACTGCTTTTCCATTGAGACTGCATTCAGATGGAAGGTGATAATGATTAGTATAAGACCTTAGAAAAGTTGGGTTGTCTGAGCTTTTGTTGTTGAAATATTGTATTTTTACCGCATTTCTTAATAGAAAGCTATGATTCTTCTCAAGTCACCATGAAGATCGAATTTTTCGAGTTTCGGTTTGAAACTTTGCATAAATGAAATTCTTAATGACACTAGCTCATTATGAGAGTTTCGCTGATTTTTTTATATTCTACTCTGAAATATAAATACTGAAAAACCTTCTAATAATAATACAAAAAAGGAAATCATACATCTTATACTTATGTCTCAGAATATCAAATACTTTAGTCAGTGAAATTTGCACAATGAACTAGTGTCTTTGAGAGCCTCATTCATGTAAATTTTTAAATCGAAACTCGAATTTTAATTTTCATGGTCACTGACCTGACCACAGCTTTCTGTTAAAAAATGTAGTAAAAATTCGATATCTCAAGAACAAAGGCTTAGACAACTGAACCCTTTTATGCTACTCATCATTGTCTTTCACCTGAATATAATCATGATCAAAAAACGATTGTACATTTAGGGATTCTTCCTCTTCAGCCATGACAACTCCTTAGCAATACTCCATCTCCGCGTCATACAGTGGAATAGACGTTGCTGATATATGATCAGACACCCTATGTCAATAACGTCTCATTATAATCTATCAACTACTTTATTAATGCGATTATGAGGGATTAAATAAAATGATGGTGAATAAATGTGTCCCAAAATAGATAGAATAAAACAATCTCCCTATGATTAGCAACAGCAGCTATATCGCGTTTCACATTTTTTAATCTCATAGGAATTGTGCTAATAGGTTTTTTTTTTTCTTTTAAAGAATTCTTCAACGTCGTGACGATATGCGTAAAAATCAATGGGATGATCGTAATGTTGATATGTATGAAATCTTAGCTAAAATTGGTGAAGGTACTTATGGCGAAGTATTTAAAGCACGAGAAAAAGAAACCGGTATGTATATATATATATATATGTATTAAAATAATAAGATTCATATTTATTAATTGATTTCTTTAGGTGACTTATGTGCATTAAAAAAGGTCCGATTAGAAAATGAAAAAGAAGGTTTTCCAATAACAGCTGTTCGTGAAATTCAAATTCTTCGTCAATTAACTCATGAAAATATAGTTAATTTAAAAGAAATTGTTATGGATGCACGTTCAATATCAGATATACGAAATGATACATCATTTTATCTAGTTTTTGAATATTGTGATCATGATTTATTTGGTTTACTTGATTCGGGTTTAATTCAACTTGATTTAGAACATATTGCTTCATTTATGTATCAAATTATGTCTGGTTTAGCTTATTGTCATAATCGAAATTTTTTACATCGTGATATTAAATGTTCAAATATTTTATTAAATAATAATGGAAAAATTAAATTAGCTGATTTTGGTCTTGCAAGATTATATAATGCTGATGATAAAGATCGACCATATACAAATAAAGTTATTACACTATGGTATAGACCACCAGAATTATTACTTGGAGAAGAAAGATATGGACCAGCGATTGATATTTGGAGTTGTGGGTAAATTATTTTTTTTTTAAATTTTTATGGCGACAGAAGAAGATATGAAAGTTTTTTTTTTATTTCTCCATAGATGTATTCTGGGTGAATTATTTCAGCGTCGACCTTTATTTCAAGCACAACGTGAAGATGATCAATTAGAAATGATTTCACGTTTATGTGGTTCACCAACACCAGCAGTATGGCCAGATGTTATACATTTGCCTTTTTTTGCAACATTAAAACAAAGAAAAACTTATAAAAGAAGATTACGTGAAGAATTTCAATAGTATAATTTATTTTACAAGTTATTTTTATCTAATATATTTGTATCTTTATTTTAGTCTTGTTGAACCTGCTTTGGATTTATTAGATCGTATGCTTGAATTAGATCCATCAAAACGAATAAGTGCATCTGATGCTCTAGAGTCATATTGGCTTAAAAGTATTAGTGACGATACAATGAAAGCACCATCGTAAGAATTAACTTTTCATTTCAAATTTTATCTCGTCTATACATATGAATATGTCTTTAGTTTACCAACTACACAAGACTGTCATGAAATGTGGAGTAAAGAACATAAACGATTATCACGTCGTGGTTGGAATGAAAATGAAATTCAAGCACATTTTAAAGAGCGTGAAATTATTGAATATCAAAGATATAATCTATCGAATGGTAAATAAATCAATAATGCAAAATGTCTTATTTAATTATTTTTATTTTAGATATGCAAATGGATAGTCCTGATCCAACAACTATTATTACTGACAGGTAGATTATTATTATTATTATGCATAAGATTAATGTCCAAAGAAAAAAACATCACTCTTGATGGAAACATACTTAAAATGTCGACAATTGTCTTAGACGCTTTCTTCACTATGTGGAATTATTATTATTATTATTATTATTATTATTAGTTTTCATTTAATTGAAAATGCACATGGACTATTTTGTCTCTTTATTTTTTAGTCCAAAGCAGCAAAAAGATAATATCGTTTCATACCCTCAATCAATTGAATTGCTAGGTTCAACGACATCATCAACAAAAAATGATACTAACATATAATTCTCAAAAATTTGACCACAAATTAAACTATTCATATTATTCACATATTATTTTCTTTGTTATCGTCTTATTTTTATCAAACAAGTCAAGAAATATTGGATATCATATCGACGATGTCATAATCGTTCGTTTGTCAATTTGAATAAAAAAAGCAAAAAAAAAAGAAATTGTGTATGTGAAAACGAAGTTGTGTATGGATCTATATCTGTCTCTCTTTTTCTCCTTTTTTTTGTCTATTATTCTTTTTTTTTTCTGTGCTTTTCTGTTTCTTTTCAAGTAACTTCCAACGTTGGACGTAATCAGTTCATTACACCCGACTAAATTAAGACATCGTTTTCATATAAAACAGGTGTTTTTATTTTCTTTCCAGAAATGAATAATAGAGAAAAAGTTTTAGATGAAGATTGATGATAAGCAGAAATTTTATGGTTCGATTGAAAATTATATGATTATGAAAAGATTCATTTTTGAAATTGAGAAAAACAAAACATGAGTTCTATATTTACAAAAGTAACTAAAGCATTTTTATCATTTCTACAAATCTACGTTAGACGTTGTCAAAAAACTGAGTAAGTTCCAAAACATAATCAACATGTCGTGGGTGCAATGATTGGTTACGCTTATATTGGATCATCACTAAGATATTTCAAATTTAGCCTAATGATGATAATCCGCATAGAATATAGGCAGTTCACATCAACAAAAAAAAAAGTCACTTTAAGGAACTTTTGGCGTAGTACTAAACAAAGTTTTTTTTTTTATCATGTTTAAACAGCTTCGAGTGACATCTGTTGACCTATTCTAAAATAGAAAAACTCTACCATATAATTCTTCTGTCTCTAGGCTCATCAACAACAATCCATTGTAATTTAACATCTATGGCATTTGAATACATCTTTGCTCTCAAAAAAAAAAGAAAAGCGGTCAAGTCCAATTCATCATTGATTATTCTTATGTAATCTCAAAAAATGTTCAGATATTTAGTTTTATGTATGTTCAATAATTTTGTTTGTTTGTCTCTATATTCTTGTCGAAAAAGAAAATGAATGAATGAATGAATTGTGCGAAGCTAATGCAGTCGCAAACAGGAAAAAAATACACACAACCGGCACACAAGAAGAAATATACAACAATAACAACATCAAGAAGAAATAAGAACAACAATAAATTTTCAATGTGTGAATGTACGAATGAAAACAACAACAAAAAAGAAACATCTTCCTTGGTACTTTTTTCAATCATGACAAAAAAAAAGCAAATCGGATATATCTGAATAATCTATATTTCTATTCTTGTTCGTCGTCCTCTTCATCATCTTCATCATCATCACCACTTTCATTAGCATCTGATGCACCAGCCGCAGCCCTTCGAGAATTTGATTTACCAGCCGAAACTTTTGAATCACCTGGCAAAAAAAAATAATAATATTTAAATTTATTTTTTCTTTTCAATTGTCTTACCTTCATCCTCTTCACCATTTTCTCCAGTATCTTCTTCATAATCATCATCAGAAGCATCTTCATCATCATAATCATCACCATCTGGATCATCACCGGCTACCTAAACAAATAAGGAAAAATTAAAGTGTTTCTTTTTTTTTCTTTCTTGACTTTAAATTTTAATTCTTAAAAACTTACTTCATCATCATCTTCATCATCTTCATCAGGTAAATTATCATCACCATTTTTATGATTTGATGATTCATCATCGGCTGGTCCACCACCATTTGTACCATTACGTGAAGTTTTTAATGCTTTTAATTTTGTTGGACTTATATCATCTAAATCAGCTTCACGTTTTGTTCCTAACAAAGAATAATTTTATTGAAAGAAAAATACTATTTAAAATTTTAAAATTTATTAAATATAATTTACCTTTAGTAGGTGTAACCGTCGGTGAAGACAAGGCATCAGTTGAATCGGCCATTGATTAAATTTAGTTATTTAATATAAGAAGCAAATAGTAGTGTAAAGTGTGCAATGATAAATGTAAGAATCAAGTAGACATAGACCCAACACAAATAGAGAAAGAGAGAAAATATGACAAGCAGCTATTTCTTCTCTTTTCTTTTCTCTGCAGCGATTGCCGAATGTGTGTATATATCTGTGTGTATGAGTACGTCGTCGTCTGTCCTCTCGTTTAGCTCGTTTCTTTTATATGATGCTATGTGCGTGTCCTTTCGCTGTTGCCGCCATTCTTTGGCACATAGTCATATAGCATAATGAGAGAGAAAAAAAAACATGAAGAAAAATCATCGTTCGTTCTTGTGTTTTTCCACCAATCCATGATTCTTATTCTAGTCGACAATAATGACGTTATACGGGCAAAATACGGCAAACAATAGACTTTTCTTTTTTTTTCTATATAGTCGAGAGAAAACGACGGCTTAGGTGACGAGCATACTGTGAATTAAATGGCGACAGTGCAAGCGAACAAATTTTATGCTGTTGTTTTCAGCCAGGAAACAAGAGAAAAGAGAGAGATTTGGATAGCAGCCATTTTTCTATGCATAGGAAAAGAAAAAGGAAAACTGTGCCAATATTGATGTCACACTCCACTGATCTTCTTTTCCCCTTTCGTCTCTCTATTTTTCTTTCCTGTGTTCATCTCTCTCTATCTTTTCTCGCTCCTATATAAACATGTTTTATATGCGCTGTAGTTATATTGTGGACATGTAGAGTAGTCAATAAACATCATTGCCGAGGGTGGCGGCTACCTACCTACTCATCCTATTTGTCGTTACAAAAACATCTATTAATATTAAATTTTTTGATGTCTTTTAATATTCAAGTTCTATATAGTAGATTATTAAATTCGTTCGAGATTTTCTTTTTATAATTAGTCTAAATCAAAATGGTTCTTTTGTGTTTGAGGAGTTTTTAGAAAAAAAGAACAATATTATTATGTCGAGGTTTAAAAGAAAAAGTACATCAACATAGAACTAGATGAACAATATTTCATAAAGAGAAGTTTCTTAAAGATGAAAATGTAGTGATAATTTTATTGCAATTTCTTTCTTTTTGGTTTTTTTTTGAAATTATTAAGATAAATTGTATTTCTGTATGCAGAATATCGAATATTTGAATAGAAAAAATGCTTATCTAATCGATGGATTTTTTGTGTTCGTGCTCGACCTTGTTTTTTCTCATTTGGTTTTGTCTGAATTTTATCATACAGTGATTGATAATACAATGATAAGAAAGTTAAATAACGCAAGGGATATTTTCCATTTTTAATGATATACTTGCCTTTCAATATATTTTAATTCTTAAAATAAAATTAAGAATATCAATATTAATAGTGATTATCAAATACGATTTATGATGGTATCACACTCGAAAAATGAGTCGAGAACGTGCATGGTGTCATAGAAGAAATAAAATGAAAGAATGGAGAAAACTAGTTGAATGGCGTACTCATTCTGATGTACGTTACACAAATTGGCCAATCGAGTATTAGATAACAAATAAATAGATGTAGATTTTCCGTTCTTTTTTGAAATTTTGTTTTCAATAATAAATAGAATTTACAATTTTATAAATCACTAGTGAAGTAATACATTAGATGTATCATTCTATGAGAAACAATTATTAATATATATTATTGTTATTTTATTTTTTTTCATATCTCTGTATGAGATATTGATCACGATGAACAAATAGATTGGTTTATAGACACTTATTGAATTCGATTGGCATCCAGGTGTGATATTCTCATTGTATTCTTTCAAACAAATTTGTATAATCAGCTTTCTTTTTTTTTTTCTTATTTTGTTATTGACACATCATTGTTAGAAATGGTTGTTATATCTTTTATAAAGATGCATTTAATGATTGTTATTGTGTAATTATTAAAAGAGATGAGATATTCAACAAAATATACGTATCACTATCGGCATGCAAATAAAAGATCAATACAGAAAAACAATGTTAAGATGTAAATGAATTCGTTATGATATTGTCGTGATAAAGGAAGAAGAAACAAAAAAAAAGCGTTCACATGCAATTGTTGTATCCTATTGTATATCTATTTTTATTGTTTTGTCTATTTTATCTATGTTATTTGACATTTCGTATCGGTCAAATACTAATTTGATGCTTTATTTGAAATTGTCTTATTATTTTAGTTATACATTCATGTTAAAAAACCTTTTCTAGATGTTGTAATACTATTTTTTAAATAAAGATTACCAAGTTTATTGGAATGAAAAAATAAATAAATAGTAAGATTTCAAATCAGTTTAGTTGAAAATATCAATAAGAAAGAATGATTTTATTCTATTCCATATACATATAAATATTCCGTCTTTATATATATGTATTTCATTTCGCTGCTGGACGTCGAATAGCATTGATTATTTCTGATGTTGAACTATTACTTAATTGTTTAACAACATTATTATTCATTAATACGGGTGATGTTTCTGTGTTTGGTTTTGGTGGTACTTTTCCAGGAACACTTAGAGTTGTGAAAAGATTAGAAAAAAGTGATGTTAATAATAATGGTGCTTGATTTTCTAAAACAGTAACAATTTTTTGTCCAACATTTGGATTAAACATTTCTTTAAGACCAGTTGACATTATTTGACCAACAATAGTACCGATACGATCTAATGGAAGAATTGAAAGAACTGTTGCTGCTGTATCAACATTTGATATTGATCCTTCATTTTGACGACGAGCACGATTTTTATGAACAGATGATTTATATTCTTTTGATTGCATTTTTTCCTTTCGATTTTCTCTAGAGTCTAGATAATAAATAAAAGACACATAATAAAATAAAAATTTAATATAAATTGTCTTAACCTGCACCATTATTCTTTGCTTGACAATGTTCAACTGTAATGCAAAGTATTGCTATTACAAGAATCAATAAAATGATTTTTGTCATTGTCAATATCTTCGATTGAAATGAAGATAAAAAGTATTTTTGTTGTTGTTCTTATACATCTGTAAGTCTTGTACGTACATCCTCTTCATAAATAAATATGTACGATTTGCAAGCTAAAAGTAATCATGTAATTATCCTAATAATAAAGGTAACTTGCAATTTTAATCAATATATATATTGATCCAACAGATGCAAATGTTTACATCAGTCAAATATAAATCGGATGATGCAGCAATTTTTTATCCGTAAATATACTCATCGACTTTGTCATTAAAAATTGAAAAACAGATTTATTGTATGCGTAGGAGTGCTGTATTTGACTGATTATCGATAGTAAACATTTATTTTTAAATTAAATATGCGCAAGAGAAAAATCGACAAAATAATTTGATTTCGATCAATGTTTCAAACTTACATTGAATATTGTAAAGTAAAACTTGAATGTGTTAATTGTCCTTCGACAATGTTCCAAAGTTGCTAGGATTGTGTGGAGTCCATGACTCAGAACACTGACAGGAAGATGTTTGTTAAAGTTGCCTGGATTTGTGGGAGAGGCTGAAAGCCATTTAGGGAATTGCTAAGTACAAAAAGTAACTAAACATTGAAGAAGAACGAAAAGTTTTCAAGATTGAAGGAATCATCTCTGTTATCCTCACCAATACATTGTAAGACTGTGTATTATGTAGACTCTAATAAACTCTAAATACCCTAAGAAGAGTTCGAATCCTTATCCTTTTCGCTGTGGAGGTACAGTGTTTTTGCAACTTAATACCGTGACCTTCTTCAGAAATAATAGGAAAACTGTTTTTTTCGAATTTTGATTCGAAACTGTGTATAAAGACAAGTCTTAACAAGAGTAGTTTATTGTTCAAGTTTCACATCTTTTTGTTGTTCCTATCAGAGTTGCTAGATCTTTTGATCTTTTTTCGAATTTTTGAACTTTCTTAGGGTGTACATGTGAATGTGGGTCTTTCCTTCATCCATATTTAATCTTAACCAAATATTTTCGAAACAACAAACATGAATAATAGCATCGAATTACTGTTATATGACTTTCAGTTATTTTCTTTCGTACAATCTTTTAAATTACCCTGTATGTATTTGGTTCATTTTCGTGCTATTTCTTCGTGAAGTAATTTTCAGTTGAGTGAAGGAGTCCGACACGAGGTGCCTTTTTCTTCTGGTTTATCCATCTTAAATAAACAATATATTTATTGTATTGACTTTTTAATGAAATATTTTTGAAAATAAAGTATGAATTAATGAATAGAAACCGTATAGAGCATTTAGTGTCTGTATGTTAACATGATAGCAACTAGTTTGTCAAAAATTGCCCTTTTTGATTCATTGTTGAAGTTATAAAAAATTCTGACTTATAAGTTTTTTATCTGACAACCCTGGTTTCTATCCTAAGATATGGCTGTTGTAAAAGTGTATCTTTTACATCGTTCAAAAACATTTGCAGACTCGGCATTCTTATTTCAAAGTAGGAACAAATAAAAAGATCTCAAACTTTTTCCATAAACTATTTTCATTAAGATCTGTTTCGATGCAAAGTTTCAGGTCGATATTCGAAAAATCAGTTTTCTTTGTGTTTATGAAGGGGGTCACAGCATTATCGTCAACAATACCACAAGGATGTTGTATGTCCATAGCAATAGCCGAAGAATCTAAACTTTATTCAGAGTATTTATTAAGGTGTACATGAAACACATAGTCTCGACTTGAAGGTGATGACTCAGTTGGAAGACTTCTCTCGTAAGGTTAATCTACGTTCTTGACGTCAAAAAGTTATTTGCACCACCATAGTTGAATGTCGACGTTATTCGACAGGTATCCACGAGGTATTGTGCTCAAACCTCACTATCACCAGTCATGGAATAACCCTAGAGAAGTCGCTAACGGCTGTTTATCTCGGATCATCCGCCCGATAGCATGCTGGTTGCACCATGACATGTACCTGCTCTTGTGATTAGTTAGTGTGTATGAGGAGCTCAAGCATTTGAGGGCAAGAACTCTGCATCAGGCCGATTTTCTGCCCAGAGCTACAGCTAGTCAGAGTTGGAGAGAGAATACTGTGCTACTGAGTCTGCCACTAGACGGCATCTAATGTCACTATGTAGTCGAAAGACAGAGGTACTCTTTCTTTCTTCCGAAGAGTCAAGTTGTATAATTTTTGGGATATGTTTGTATATATTAATTGTTTATTGAATAATACTCTAATATTACATTTTACAAAGTGATGGTTTTCATTATTTTATAATTCAAAGAAATTAATTTCAAAATTTAGTTTTTTTAGCAGATACTGTAAAATTAAATTGAAATAATACATTTTGTTCAATAGTGAATATAAATCTAATTGGCTTTAAGTTTTCGCAGAATATCGCTTGCTTTATTCAATGTTTCGACATCCTAAAATAAAGAAAAAAAAACGAAAAGTTCTATTAAAAATTTATGATTTATTTCAATTTACTTTAGCAAAACAGAATCGAATATAGTTTTCTCCTAGATATTGATGGTTTTTTGTATAAAAAGCTGAAACAGGAATTGCTGCAAGTTGCTAAAATAAAATAATTTTAGTGTTGTGCATTTTTTTAGTTTTTTAATTAATTTACTTTTTCTTTTATTAAATATCGAACAAATTTAAAATCTTTCTTATTATCTTCTTCTGATTGAAACTGTTCATCATTTGCTGTTCAATATATATGAAAATAATCTTTCTTAACATACAAACAAAAAAAAAGTACATTTTTAAAACAAACCAAATTGAGAAAAACTCGCAAGCATAAAATATCCTCCATCAGGTATAATTGGTTTCATTCCACATTCTTTTAAAACTTGAGCAAATTGATTACGTTTTTTAATAAATTCATTTGATACTGAATTAAAATAACATTCTGAAGAATTTAAACGTTTTAATTCATATTCAAAACAACGTGCCACAACTTCTTGAGATAAAGTTGGACATATATAAACAGAATGCTATGAAATAATATGTATGAATTTGAATGAAAAAATTTCGTATTTTTTCAAATTACTTGATGAACAATTTGACTTAAACGAATAAGATGTTCTGGTCCAATTGTCCAACCTAATTTTAAACCTGTTGATGAAAATGTTTTACCTGCACTTCCTATTGTTAATGTTCGTTGCCACATATTAGGCAATGTTGCTATACGTATATGTTTTTTATTATTATCATATATTATCCATTCATAAACTTCATCTGATATACAAATAACATTATATTTTTGACATAAATTTGCAATATGTTCAAGTTCTTCCAATGTAAAAACCTTTAAAAACATATTCATATGTATTTTGTTTTTATTGATTGAAAAAAAGATATACTTTTCCGAGAGGATTATTTGGTGTATTTAATATAATAAGACGTGTATGGGAATTAAACATTAATTCTAATTCATTTTTATCAAGTATCCAATCCGAACTCGATGATATATCTTGTTTAATTGATTCTACTCTCTACAATAAGTAATTTAAGATGCTAAAAAAAAAGAAATATTCAGAAAATTACTGGTCGAAGTGGTATACATCGAACAATTCCACCAGCTGCACGAACCATTGGTTCATAACAATCAAAAGATGGTTCAATTAAAATAACCTATAAAAAAAAGAAACTTTCAGAAAGAATTCTAGAAAACAATGAAAATTAATTTTAAATGTTTACTTCGTCACCAGAATTAACAATACTATGAATTGCATTGAATAATGATGAATAGGCTCCACTAGCTATTAGAATTTCTTTGAATGGATCAAGTTTTCGATTAAAATACAATGAATAGACATTTGATATTGCTTCGACTAATCGACGATGACCCTATTTTATCAATAATAATTGAAAGAAAATTTTTATTTAAATTAAATTTACAAATCCACGAGTGTATTGATGTAAGAATTTATTATGCTCTTTGACTGTTTCGTCATAGATATCTAAAAAATATTGTGGTGGTTCATAATCTATGAAACCTTGACCAAGATTGACAGCATTATGTTGAACAGCTAATGTGGTAAATTCAATCCTAAGAAAAAAACATTTCATTTATGTCCTAATATATAAAAATTTCGTTCGAGATTCTTTTACCAAACATTTTGTTCTAAGCCAACATAGCGTTTCGATAACAAATTATTCTGTGGTTCAAATGTTTTAGTTTTCGCTGATTCTTCATTTGAAGAAGTCATTGTTGTCGATAGAAGACGCTTAGTATAACTGCATTTTAGGTTAACACTTGTCCTTACTCCGATATCAATTGATTTACAAAGAATATTGATCAAGCGTGACGAGATATTTAAAATGAAAAAAGATTTCATTGTCACATAATCAATTTAAAAATATTGACGATTTAAATTTTGTTTTATTATAAATTTATAGCGCCTCTATCGAACAACTATCTGAATATGATTGGCCAAAGATTCCTATTATACATAGAAAAATCAATTTGGCCATTGGTCATTTGATTTGGTCAATAGCTAAAACAAAGTTTTTGAAAAGATTTTCTTTCGTTTTATTTTTATGTCGGTTCATCTGCTATTTATTGATACCATCACACACGATTAGTATGCTTAACACAGAAATCATTGTAATGATAAAGATGAGGGTGTCACTAAACTGCAGTCCTACTCTATCGACTATATATCATCAATATTTCTTTTGAAATGAATACTGAAAAGTCTTTTAAATAGAACTGTCGGGCAGATAAATTCAAGCAACTGCTTAGGACGATAGTTACAGTTGTTGTAATGGCCAAAAACGATAATATATACTGCCATTTTTTACAGTTTACAGTCGTAAATTAGCGTTTTGGTAGCGACCGTATTACGGCCGTTTTTCAACATGTCGTACACGACCTGAAAATCGAGTATCCGATTATTTACGCTCATCTACAATACGATGAAATACGGCCGTAATACGGTCGCTACCAAACGGGCAAAAAACGATGAAAAACAGTCGTTTACGACCGAGCTTGTTTGATCTAAGTAGCATATTAGAAAATAAATTGGAAGTGGTAAACTTTATCAAATAAAACTATCAAGATGATGTGTTATAAAACTTCAATCATAATCAGCGAAATGATGAATATTATTTCATTAAACTGACAAGTCTGCTAAAAAAACTCTGCAAGCAAAAACATATACAACTATTATAAAAAAGAAACTTCTTAAAAAATTTTTCCAAATGGATCCCGCTGAATTCGATGATCCGTCTTGAATCAGGATACCATATATGTGGTTTTGTAGACCTATTTGTGACGCATCAAATGTACATAAGAAATCAAGATTTCTTCAAGTTTTGTATACTGAGGATTCATATATTGGTGATAATCCTAGAGAAATATATATCGTACTCATAGACTTTGTGGTTCCTAAGATATTCTAAAATAAACTTGTGCAAATTTTGTTTTTAAACTCAATTCGATATAGTTATAGGTGCTCTTCAATTATCTATTATCAATAGTTTTCATCAATGTTTTCGCCATATTTAAAATTGTTTCCTTTTCTTAGGTCTTGATCATTTCTTGACTATATGATATTCTAGTGTACTTAGCACTGTGCCTCAGAGCAAATGAATATCAACTTGAAACTTTCTCAAAAATTGTACAATACCAAACTCTATATATTTCACAGATAGCATCTTTTCGAATAGTAAGGACTCATTGTCAAGCTGCCAGATTATCCCACGGAATAACCTATTTTCCTATAGGCAGCGGTTAATCTATTGACGATATTTTAACAATATTCAACAATCTTATTATAAAGCATTTATGTACCAATAATCAACACGTCATCCTTAATGAAATGATATAAATAGCTCGTATATAAAAAGATAAAAATTTTCCGGTCTCTGAATCCTTGTAAAGAGGCGCACGCGTATATGTTTGCCGGAAAGAGGTCTGTATTTTATTACTTTTTCAAATTTTATTCAAAGTATCCATATTATATTTACGCATGAAATTCTAGAACAATCTATAAATATCTCATGTTTATTTGAAAAGTAATTTTTTTTCATATCGCCGTGCTTCCCTCCAGGAGTCCGGAGGTAAAAAAATTTTTAATTTTATATAGGAGTTATTTATATCAGTTCATCAAAAATAATGTGTTGCTCAGTACTACATAGAAATTTTATAATAGAATCGTTGAATACTGCTGAAATATCATCAATATACTGGCCGCTGCTTGTAAGAAAATAAGCTGTTCTACGGATCAAGCTTGCAAGTTAACAAGGAGTGCTCTTTATTCGAAAAGATGCTATCTGTGAAATATATAGAATTCGGTAGTGTGCAATTTTTGAAAAAGTTTTAAGTTAGTATTCACTTCATGTGAGGCACATTGTTGAGTACACTAGAATTTAACCCATATGTTCGATTGCGATCGCACTGTGACCCGTAATTGCGTAAAATTGCGACGCAGCTACGCGTAACTACGATATTTTTTTCGCAGTTTCGTGCAACTGCGTCGCAGTCCAACATATGCGTTTTTTACTGCGATCAATGCGCCGCAGTTGGTAAAAAAGAGGCGACATGGGAATATAGTCAAGAAATGCTCTAGACCTACGAAAAGGAACCATTTTTGAGAACGAAGAAAGTAATGATGAAAACTATTGATTATAGATAATTGGAGAGCACCTATAACTGTATTGAATTGAGTTTAAAAACAACATTTGCATAAAATTATTTTAGAACAACTTAGGAACCACAAAGTCTATGAGTACCATATATATATTTCTCAAGAATTATTACTAATATATGATCTCTCAGTAAACGAAAGTTTGAGGAAAACCTGATTTCTTATGTACCTTCAATGCGTCACAAACAGCTCTGTAAAACGGTACATATAATACTTTACTTCAAGATAGGTCACTGAATTCTACAAAGTCCTTTCTAGGATGCAAATATTCACTCAAAGTTAGTAAAATAATCATAATATTGTACTACATTTATGGATTTCGACGTATCGTGTTTTCAGATGATAATTCTAATGTTTCTCTACAAATTACATATTTCTATCCATTAAACATACAGATTCGTCATAGACATCATTGATTTACTGAGAAAGGTCGAAACTATTTGTCCATTCTTTAATAAAATGAATTTCATATAATTTATTTGAATTATGGTTTGTTTCTTCTTGTTGACTGGTGTAAACTTTGCATTCGATATTGAATTCTGAATTCATCGTAATGCTGTTATATTTTGTGTACTTCGTCTATGTGCAGTTTTTACTGTCTAATCTGTTAGTTATTGTGATTCATCACCTGTTATTGGTAATTTTTGTGATTATCCTGAAACAAAAACTGGTTGGGATATTGATACATTTTCAGGTATATTGATTGCAGCTATGTGAATCGAAAATTCTCGATTTGTTAAATCACCAATTGATGGAATATGATCTAGTCTTTATAAGACAGTTCATTCAGATTATGTAACGAATAGAAGTGTACAACTCAGATGGTCAGATACATATTATTGGAGATGTAGAAATTCATTATTTAGATCGCTATATGGGGAATATATGGTGAAATTTGAAGTACAACTTGAAAATATTAAATATAAAGAATTTTTTAAGACATAAATTAAAACACGTTGATGATTTGACTAGACTATTGAAAGATAAATTCTGTCTTTTTTCTTTTTTTGTCGTTTGTTGATTTGTATATATTTAAAAACAGCAGCAAATATTCCAGCTTTTAATTCAATAAGAATCAAATGTTTATCGTGATCGTTTTTTTGATAAAATAATAATGACACAATGTTTCCACAACAAAAAAGAGGGGCAATCGGGATTTATTTAAATTATTTTGATGCATCTATATTTATCTATTCATAGCATGTCGGACATTTTAACTGTATTAAAAGGAAGCCATAGTTGTGAAGAAACAGTACTCACACTCAGCTGGCTGCCTTCCCGTAGTATTTATTCGCTGTTACTTTCAGTCAGATATCTGCCTTCAACCTACTTGCTTCCATTTCTCAATATGATACAATACGAAGGGATTGAGAAAGAAATCCTAGAAGCTACCAGCTAGTTTTAATTAAATCAACATAATGTATAGCGCAGATACAATGGAACAATATCATTTTCTTTGTTCTTAAGTCATACTATAAGCACTCGTTAGAAAACTTTTCACTCTACAAAGCTGTTTCGTTTGCTTTTCAAGTAAATTTTTCTTGTTGAAAAAAAAAAAATAAAAACATGAACATCTGCTCAATAGTCTAACTGCGATTTTCTGCAGATATCCATCAATTTATGCAAGCCTTTGCTCATGAAGACTAATCCAAAACATGACACAGCTTAGCGTCAATGGATAGAGAATTTTGTACTTTTTGCTTCTGCGACCATTTCAAGGTTTCTGGTGCTATCATTTATATGAATAAAACCTACGGATATTTTTCTACGCATGCTAGAAATACCATAATATTCTAAATTGAGATTTCGTGTACGAAATAATCGTTCTTGCGGTATCGGATATGGAACGCCGTTCTTAGCAAATGTTGTCACTGTTAAGTTGAAGAGTACAAACGATTAGGTTGTATCAAAATAACAAAGAACAATTACGTAATCGTTTCAAACAAGGCTTTTCCCCAGTTTTACTTCATAATTATTTTTGCAAATAGTTCTTCAGAAATACATATCGAAAGACGCAGAACTTTGTGGAGAATTTGTTGGATTGCTTATCATGTCAGAAAACAGTTGTTAAAAAAATAGTTTGCATTATCTTTCATTTTCTTTAGGATCATTGCAGTTAGACAATTGAGTAAGTGTTAATATTTCAAATTTGCTCCATCAAGAAAAAAAACCTATTAGACGAACAAATACAACAATTTCATAGAGCAAAAAATTCTGCATTGAATGATTTTCTGTAAGTGCATCTAAGTGTCCAAGTAAATGATATTGTCCGATTTAATCTACCACACCCGTTAGACTAGTATTACTGATAATTCTAATTAAATAAGTTAAACAAGTTATGACATTAATCCTAATCCCGTTGCTAAGCCAAGTAGAAAACTTTATCTGCTAATACTCATCCCATTATTAAGATGAGCATGCTAAGACATTCTTTGATTTGACATATGACTTGATTGCCAATATAAAGTCAAATCTAAAAGAGTGCATGCACCTGTATGAGTTGTATGCATTTCTATTTTTTAAATTCTAATTTGAAATGTAGTGAATATGTTAAAATAAAGATCAGCATGTACTCGCAGAGAGTAATTTGACGTTGAAATTAAAACAAGACCTTGAAATACATTAAGAAGTGTTGGAATTTTTATTGGTTATTACATGTCATAATATTCTTTTTTTACCCTAACACATCGATTTATTCGTGTTAAAATAATTAAGAGAGTAATAATGAAACCATCAATTATACGAGACATTCGATTAATTTTTTTTTCTTTTCTTATGCATTCAATGTGTTTCAATGTCTGAAACCACGAACCCTAAAATTCTAGCATCCAGTACTCTTTCTGTGAAAAATCTATCAATACCGACTTTTTACCACTATCATATCTTTATGACAAAAGCTACCAAAAACTTTCCTGTAAAACTTCTAGTGCTTTTCATTTGAAGTTTTTTTTATAAATGATACTAAAAGACAGAGCGTTAAAAATTAAAGAAAATGATCTATTTCAATATAATACAGTGTTGATTGAGTCAAGCTTTATAAGGCAAACATGAAGGAAAAGAAGCTCTTTCGATGATTATGTTATGCAACTGTTTCTTCTATACAAAATGGATAAAAATATTCAATACTACATGGTACGTTCGCGACGACACGGGCTCTGTATCTCTTCTACATACTGGTTTCGATGATTTTTCAATTGAAAGAAAAAGTATTTTTAACGGTTTTCATTGCCACGAAACAACTGTAAAGCAAGATAAATACGACAACTGGAATCAACGTCAAAAACTATATTGAATCAAATTCATTTCAAAGAATTTTTTTTTCCTGCAAAAAAACTGACCCTTAGGGAATCACGGGTCAAAATTTTAATAAAATATAGCTATGGCGGAGTGTAGGTAAGTTTTTTCACAGGAAAAAAATTCTCTAAACTGTTTGATTTAATGCAGTTTTTGACGTTGATTCCGAATGTTGTATTTATTTTGCTTTACAAGTATGTTATGGCAATGAAAACAGCTAAAAATGTTTTCTTTTTCAATTCCAAATCATCAAAACCAGTACGTAAAAGAGATATAGTCCCCGTTTTGTTCCGAACTTATCATTTTGTGGAAAATAAAAAGTTGCATGACATAATTATCAAAAGAGCTATTTCTCATTCATGTTGACCTTATAAACTTGAATCAGTAGATACTGTACTATATTGAAATAGATTATTTTCTTCAATTTTTAATTCTTTATGTTTCAGTGCGATTTATAAAAACTTCAATGATTCGTTGAAATGCAAATAGCTGCAAGTTTTACAGAAAATGTTTTGATAGTTTTTATCATAAAGATATTATAGTGATAAAAAGTTGTTATTGACTAACCTTTTACACAAAGAGTATTGGATGCTAGAATTTTAGATCTGTTGATTTCAGACATAGATACATTGAATGCATAGAAAATAAGAAAAAAACGTTTTTTTATTGTGTACTCCATATACTTAATGGTCTCATGATTGTTCTTTTAAGTCAGTAAAATAGTTTGACAAATTACAAGACATAGACAAGTCTAGTCATTTCTTCACTTCGATTTGACGTGACTTCTATTGCGCAATAACTTACTTGCCCATGTTTGATCGATAGTGCACGTTGATTATTGAATAAAAAACTTATATGAAATTTTTTGTTGAGAAAAATTGATTCTTCTTAATATTTAAACAGAACAGAATTTTAGTCAGATCAAATTACTAAAACATTCTTTTGATCTTAAGTTCAAATAGAATCAACAATCTCAACATTTTGCAGTTACTTATCAATTTTTAATGATTTCCATCAAGTTTAGTCAGTGTGAAAACACTTGATAAGATAAGAACGTATTTTGATGTTTTTGTTCTGCTTCCCTACTTTTTCTTTGCTCATATGAAATAACAATGCATAGTTAATGAACTGTCTGCTAAGTAATGATATAAAAGTCTCATATTATATATATGAGAGAAGAAAAACAAATAGGGAAAACATTCCATCATATAATCTGGTGTGCTAGCTGCGCAATATCTGTGAGTGTTCAGTGCTAATTTAATGATGAGGTCAAGCCGTTCTTGAACATTGATCAAAGATTATATCAGGTTTCATAGGATAATAAACAGTTCACTTAAGCTGGTAGCAACTGACATTATTGAACTTAAAAAGTTCGGAAAAGATCCTCAAAAATATTTACTTAAGGTTGAGTTGGATTAAAAAAACTTGAACCATGTCGAATACTGAAACAGAATTATAGTATTTATTATCTAACTCATAATCAAGTAGATAGATAGACAGAGAAAAAGAATTTTTCGTGCGTAAATAATCTTTAAATAGAATATTTTTTGTAGATTGAAAGCATTTGTAAATGTGACTCTATTTTAACTCATTATATTATAAGCAATATTGTTCTCTTGAATAAGACAAAGCATTTAATTCTATAACAATCTTGAAATGTTTTTGAATTTAACTATAGCATGAACAAAATAGTAATCTGTTCATATTCGATTGACATGGTATTTATTAGACTTAGTTTGTTTTTCATTTTCTTTATTTGACGAAAGTCATGTTCAATCTGATAAAAATAAAATGAGGAATCGAAATATTAATTGACAGACAAAGGTAATACATTTTTTCACTTTCGAAGTAACGAAAAGTTAGTCATTTTCTTCTTTGAATGCAAACTTACAAGGTACTATTTTGTTTTTTCTTCTTTTGATTTACATAAAGTAGAAAATAATCGTTATTCTCTCGTATAGTAACAATAAAAAATGTATCAGTCTTTCAACGATCAATACGCAAAGTTAAAAAATAGGCATGTCACATTACCAATACTATTTGGTATTGACTGATATTGGTATCGAATCGTATTTAGTATTAATAGATGTTAATATCAAGATTAGCCAATAATAATACCTCAATAATGTATTTCGTATTATGACATGTCTACTAAAAATGTTGATGAACTACTAATTATATAAGATAGTCTTGAACACTACAGAGTATTCCGATAAGTTGATTTTTGAATAAGATAAAATAAATTTCGATCATTTGATATTTTAGAGAAATATTTTCGACCTTTTTCTTTGTTGAAGTTTCATTTCGACTTTATTAAAAACGGATTATAATCAAAAACAAGCGATATAACTTGAATAAAGTCGTAAATAATATCTTCTTAATTGTTTGTTTTTTTTCTTCTTGACGAGAAAATTTTCCGATGTTTGTATTTTCGTTCTTTTTCTCATTTACTCTCGTGGTACATCAACTTGACCATTATTTATTTGATTAATAACATCATGTGGATGAGAACCTTCTACTTTGCAACCAACAGATTGTGCTGTGCCTATCAATAATAATAAGAATTATAAACAAAAGATCCTTTTAAAAAAGTTTTTACCAAGTATCTCTTTGACAGTTCCATCAAATGTTTTAGCTAATGAACGTGGTCGCATAACTCGAGCAATTTTAAATATTTCATCTAGTGAAACATTACCATCATGTTTAACTAAAAAACAAAAATCATTGAAATTAATAAAATATTTAAAAAAGACGGCATTTTACTATTCTTTTGTTTTTTACGATCACGTGGTGGTTCTTTAAGTGCTTTAATAACAAGTGATGACGCTGATGGAATAACATCAATTTTAGCATTACGATTTTGAACAGTTAATTTTACTGTTACACGCATGCCTTTCCAATCACCAGTTGCTTTAGCAATATCATCGCCTACTTTTTTTGGTGACTATATATAAAGAGTAAAAAAATAATTTCTATTATTAAAAAAATACAAATTTCGAATAATTACTAGACCAAGAGGACCGATTTTGGGAGCTAATGATGAACCACCCGGTGCTTCACCGCCGGTGACACGAACCATAACTAAATATCAAAAAAGATTTGTAAAACGGAGAAAAAAACAAAACTAAGATTAATCTACTTTCATAAACGGCTGTTGGATCAAATTTGGGACCCATGATATTGGCTAACTATGTTTCTTTTTAAATTGAAAGATCTAAAAAAACTATGAGATAATATAAAATTTAAAGATTTAAGTTGTTTCTTTCAAAATTGAATGTATATTTATGAGGAGGAACTATTATTTACATTTCATATGTATTATATGGAATACATTCAAACGAATCATAAGATACAAATGTTGATATTATTAGAAATATTTAGAATAATAATATAACATTAATAAAGATCTTTTTCTATTTTTTTCTTTTGATCTAATTTCATTAAAATATACTTGAGAAGTTTTAGGAAAATTTTTATAATAATATCTGACATAGATGTCACTCATCAACATTTTATCAATGTCAACTCATCATTTAGTACTTATTGTAATCAGACAAAGATTTGACAAGCAAAAACAGTAGACAGAAATACATGACAAATTGTTCTCAACAATGAAGTGGGTGCAAAACTCATCTTTTTTGTTTTAAACCAGGATTTGCTGGTTTTTTTTTTTTTTATCTCCTTTGATCTTTTTTTGTTCGATAAAAATATAGATTCCTTTTGGGAGAAAAGTGAAGATTTTCACCAAGTGAGAGATGCGCATTTCCCTGAAGCCCTCGTCGACATATCTCTAGTAATTAATTTTGTTATAAAAGAAGCTTTTAATAAATTTTGTTGTGGAATTAGATTATTTGGCTTTTATTCCTAATGAAAAGTATTTAAGGATATTTCATAATAAAACAACAAAAGGTGTTTATTATATTGAAATATACATTTCAGGTACTTTATTCATCGTAGTTTAACATGAAAAGAAACAAATTTTAATTATCTTTTTGAGTTACTCGTTGACTATAAGATCAGCTGTGTTAAAGTGCTTTGTGATGAATGATTAGCATTGTAATAATTAATAGTAATCTCGATTATTACATATCCTCTCTCAAGTTAATTAAAACTTATATGCCTTTGTACTTCAATTGCGTGCAATGCCACAAACATAAGATAAAGAAAACCACGATTGTTTTGTATATGATTGTGAAACGTTCAAAATTTTCGATACATAATTTTAACTTACATTTCATCATGGTTACAGATTCAATAATTAGTTGAATGCTAGATATGAAGCTGTGTAAGATAAATGTCTTATTCTATGGAAAGAAATGGTAATCAAATAGTATTTTCATATTTCTAGATTGATAAAAGAAATGTTTATTTTTTTGTGAATGTAATGTATTATTTCTGACATATGTTAAGAGAAACGATATTAAAATATCAATACAGCCATCAATATGAGAAGGTTGTCCATGATATAAAAATACGAAAAATGATGAAGTTGCTTTTATTGCGAATCAATACACTCTTCTAATAGGTTACGCTGAAATTAACGAAGTACTATATTTAATCATGTAAAGAATATGTTAATCATCTTATATTCAGATATGTCTAAAAGCTATCGAATGTCTAATACTATAACTCCTGTTTTCAATTTTCCATGATATGTCGTAATGGAATTCTTTAGCATTTTTCTTTTGTTTAATATATCAACAAATCATTGTTAAGAAAATATGATGTTCATTAATATTAAGGAGTTTAATTTTTTATTTGTCAATATATTTATTAATTCATGGATACAATAGAAGCCAATAGATTCTTTAAAAATCAATATTATTTTTTTTGAAAAAAAAATTTTTTTTTTTTCTACAATTCTTTTAACGTTTAAGATAAATTGAATTGACAATTTCATTCATTACTTCCATAGGAGGTTTTGTCATTTGTTTACGCTTGTTTAAATTTGGATATCCTCCGGGATTATAAAATGAATATCGTTTGTTGACCGTTATACCTGATGGAACATAATCATCAATATCATCATCATTATTGTTATTAAGTTGTGTAAACCATTTTGGTACCATGATGTCATTGTCATTGACATGCGACATTAAAAATTGATTAGCATGTGTTCGTGGTTGGCCATACCATAATGATGATGATGATCCCGAAAACGGTTGTTCATGGACGGAGGATGATAATAAAGCTGAATCTTGTTGCGAACCAGGATGATAAATATTTGGATCAAACATCAATGCATTAGAATCATAAGTAATTTTGTTATTATTATTATTGTTATTTTCGATTGGATTTGATAATGGTGTAGGTGAACATGAAATACATGGTAAAAATCCAATGAGAAGAGCATAAACAGTAATGGTCATCATTAATTGTGAAGAAAAGGAACGCGGACGAGCTACAACAGATGGTGACATATGAAATAAAACTGAACTGACTGATGATGAACCTTGTAATGATGCTTTATATGGCATGTTTTATTTTTCCAATAATGAATAAAGAAGAATAAAACGACGGTCACTTATCTAAAATAGGATCAATCTGTTAATTTTTTCTCCTCCGCTAGTTTTCTAAATTGTCAGCTTATTAAAAGATTATGAAACGTGACAGACACGCATATACTTGTTAAATTATAAAAAAGAAATTTATGTAGGCGAAAGAAGAATAGACAAAAAGTAGTCCATGTCACAAATGGTTTTAATTAACATGCACGAAGACATTTTCATAAGAACACAGATCTTTCAGTTCTATTTTTTAAATAACGTACAATTATTTAACTAGTTCATATTTATATTATCTATTCAATTATCAACGTTTACTAACCTCATTTATGTATATAATATAAAACATGGTTAACAATGTCATTTTTATTTAAAGCAAGTTAGTGTAATATATCAACTTATCTTAATACAGGAAGTTGGATAAAAAGGAAAAAGAAAATGAGAGAAAGGAAGATAAAATAGTCTATTAGTGCTACCTGTTTTTTTACACAAAGAAGAACTCGAAGGAAAAGGAAAAAAAGTGAGGAAAAAAATAGCTCTTATCTCTAACTTTTTTTTTTTTGCTCAATTAAGACATACAAAATAAACAGAAAATCGTTAATAATAGAGTAATAGCTTCTTTGTTAGATACTTATGGTAAATCATTAAAAAAATATAAAGATATATATATATATATAAATATCAACGTTGATAATTATCGTACTTAGCATTAGCTGAACTTTAATGTGCACTCATTTCCGTTATTAAAATCTTAAAAGGGTATTTTCTTTTTTTGTCTATATTTTATAACATGACTATTTTATACTTGATAAAATTGACTTTTTTCGTATTTAACCTTCTGATGAACTTCGTGATATGTCGAAACAACGAAAGAATAGGAGAAAACTTGATGACAAATAAGGATTTAGTTTAGCTAATATACATTTTTTGGGATTTTTTTAATTTGTTTTTTTTTTTTGAGCTCAGAAAAATACTTGTAGTATTAATAACCATTACAAGAAAATATTATTTCCTTTACGACATAGTTCTCTATCCTTATAAGATCTAAGACAAAGGAAAAGATAATAATTATATTTTCCAAAATTAAATCTCTTCTACTTTTCCGAATGTTCAAATTAGATTGTAATTCGAACAATAAAGAAAAGAAAACAAACCTTGTGAAAATAAGCATTTAATAAACAAACTAAAGGAAACAACTGACTAATCTTAATATCCGCTCTCCTTAATTGCACATAAATACTTTACTTAAATAAAATAAATAAATAAAAGTAATGTCATTGTATACTCATTTAAAAAAGAAATTATGCATAATCATGATTATTTTACAAACGATTACAAAATTTTCAAAAGACTTTTTACCCTTTCGAAACGTTGNTGATGATCACTTGAACAATCATCTGTATACTTATCAGCACTTATGTACAAAACAAGTAACACCGTCAACATAGTAAATGGGGAAAAAAGAAAGGTAACAACAATGCTAATGAGTCGCAATGGAGTAATGTAGTTTTAAAAGTGTCTGGAAAAGAATAACGAAAGTAAAAATAAGTTAGATTGTAAGATGTTCGATGTTCAAATGATTAGTTTTGCAAATCTGTTTGAATAAGATATGCAGAACATCTATTTCATTAATACATCACTAATATTTGATAGTAAGATTCGAAGCAGAGAAGAAGCTTTATTATCGAATATCTAAAATTTTCTATTCTGAATCAATGATCAGTTCAAATTTTGTCGTCAAATTTGTTCCAGTATATTTTATTTTCAGACAAGTAGACAGTAATTCAATAATGAACAGGAAGACGAATCTATTCATGAATGGTTTTGACTTAGTTCGATTAGTGAGCAAATTAGTGGATGTTGTACTCTTATAACAGCTCTTTCTTGATTTGTACATATCTACTGCAGCGAAATCAATTATTTTGATTATTAACTGTTCATCCACAATCTTGTTCTTGTTTATATACTTACACTTTGAACAAAGTGATAATGAGAATTGTAATTCTAGAGGCAGCAATAATGGCAATAACTCACTCATTTTATTCAAATATTCTCATCGTTCATATTTCAAATCCATTCAATAGACATGAAGCAATATTGTAACACTTTGAAAAATTTATTATCTATTAGAATTATATTCATGGGAAATGTCGGCTAATCAAATTAGATTAATTCAAAAGAACTACATTAATGTTTTTGGCATTAACGATATAAATAGTTTATATCCTTCTGGAATGACGATTTACATGATCACCAGTTTAGATAGTATTTGCTCTTCGAAAAATTCTGGCTAGAAAGTTAAGAAAGAACAAACTATGCTAGCATGTATAATAGTCTACTGAAATCTCTATCGAATCTATAGTTGGAGATGTGATCATCAAACACTTGTAAAAGCATTTGGGGAACCTAAACGTTCATGATATAGCTCAAAACATCATTAGAAATCCTGTTTGTTCACTCTAAAATCAGTTGATATGTATTATTTCTGGATGAGGGCTGTTCCTAGCCAAGAGAACTAATTTTTCGGCTGATTTACCATCGGAATACAGTCAATTTCCTGAAGAAATTGATTTCGGTATCGGGAGATTCGCCATCTCATTCTGGAATATTGTATGGGTGATTTCATCCGCTAGTGACATGAACGCATAAAATAAGAACGTCTATATCTCTAG